TTTATTTTCAGCTTACCGATAATAAGCCAGCCCCAGCGATTCCCATAGAACTCTGTGGCAATAAGAAGGCGCCTTATCCGCAGAAACATCCGAATCCGTTGCGTTCGGATCCGCTGCTGTTGCTGCGGCACACTCACAAAAACAATTTGGGAAAAGTGATTGTTTGAAAATGTCAAACTTGATGTTCAATGAAAATATGATTACTCAAATGATTATATGATTATTTAAACAAGGTAAGTGATTTATTAAACAAAAAAATTTCTTTAAAATTTAATAAGCTTGTAAGAAAATATTTTATGATTGCAACCAGCCACTGATGTATGCCGAAACTTCTACTTTTTTTTTAAAAATCTTCTTTAAAATACATTTTTTTTTAAGTGTAGCTATTGCTGGATGCTAATGTCGCATGTTGCTGGCGGAGATGGCGCAGTGCCATCGAAAACAGTGCCAGCGACAACGCAAAGGCGATCGCGCGTCTGAGCCCGCCGGAAGATTAACGACAATAAACTACTATAGCCCCCCGTGATCCAGAACAATGCCCCCGACCATGGGCAGGAATGGATCGCTCCTACTGTTCGCCGTGCTTTTAATGATCCTGGATGTTTTCCCCTCAGTGAATGCCAATTTGTGGACACGGCACAATAGCAATGCCTATCAGACCAGAAGGCGCTCCGGTCCGAGCAATCGGTGTCCCAAGGTTTGTACCCTACCCATTGGTCAGACAAATTTAAAAAAATAAAATATATGTAATTGTCTTTGATGACTCTCCTATTAACAAAGAAAACCCTTAAGAATATTTAGACTTTGTCTACTAAAACATAACTTTAAAGATTAGTTAGTTAGACGCAGTAAGTTCGCACATAAATACATACATAGCCTAATAGAGGAAAAATTCAAATTAGCAAGAATGTAATTTGCTTAGTCAAATTTAAGTCCCTCATGAAATGAACTAAAAACGGGTTGACATATCTACTAAATCTCCTGCAAACTCCCAAATAATGTTTCTAAGAGAATAATTGCAGTTCGATTGGAAATTGAGGTCACCTTTAGGACATGAAAATTGCTTGAGTAAAGAACAAAACAAATAGAACGGCATACGGTTAAGACTGCATTTGACATTTGGATGCAGGTGCAGCATTGGTAGTACAGGTTCCCGTCCCTGGTCACGTCCCTGGCCTCTCCTAACTGGATCACTTTCTTTGGCAACGCTTTACTTCACTTCACTTCGATTCGATTTCATTCTGAGCACAGCCGCCGGAGGAAAGCATCTCAAACCCAAACTAAAGCTGAAGCTTATAGGCTCATCAATATGCCGGTCACAGTGTGACATATATCAAGCCACTAGCGATGACACCACCTACTTACATATTAAAAATAACCGAGTCTATGTACGTTTGTGGTTTCAGCTGAACTTCGGTAACTCAATTTTATGTTATGTTAGCTATAAAACACATAAATTAATTGTATACTTATATAAATGGAGGTATCCCAAAAATCTATTTCAACCCAATTCTCTTGGAATGTAAATATGATGAACAAATCAATCAACAAATGAAGAACATATAATATTTTGTAAATACTGATACAAACCGGATGTGATGATGTACATACATCATAATATAGAAGTTCCAACCGAATTTGGTAGGAAGAAATTTCTATAAAAGCCCTGATGAAGACACTTAACTTAAAATATTTGCTGTTCTTATAACATCGTGATGAATGTTACTTTTTTGTTTATTGTTCTGAAACATATTTTGTTCCATTAGAAAAAGTCATCTGATGAATAGAGATTTTCGTCTGGGTTTCTACCTTTAATCACAGCAAAATTTAACTGAGATACCCTACCCTCTATCGATTATCGAGCACGTTCCATCTCTAGCGACAAGAATGAATGGGACATTAAAGCGAGGCGCAGAAAGAGCAAGGCAGAAGAAATGGGCTCACACCGATGCCAAAATCAATCACACTTTCTAAGTGGCTCAGACGTTGTCTGCGTCTCGCTGTCATTCCTCCCCGTGGTCCCCTTTCTCCACACCTTTCTTTACCCCTTTTCTCCACCTCTGTCTACATCTCCGTTGGCGGCCACAATTGCACTTTGATGCAGGTGCAGTCACACAAATACAAATACAAATACAAATACAAACACCGAAAAGCGAGCCAAAAGCCAGAAAACAATCAAATAGAATAGACAAAAGACACGCACGTAGAGACTTAGAAAGAGAATAGGAGAGAAAGGGGTGGTAAAGAGGAGTGAAAAGGGGGGCGGCACATGCGGTGCAATGCGCTTTTGAGGCGCATCAATCAGAGGCTGACTTGCGTCTGCTTTTCTCGTCTGCAAGTCGCGTCTTGAAAGACAGCAAAAGAGACGGCAATAGCGTCGCAGAGAGAGACGGCAACAGAGACAGCGACACCGACTCCTCAATGAACTGTCAGTAGTCAATCACGGTGACAGCGCTAACGGCTTTCGTCGTCTGTCGCTTCTTTAACTCTTTCTCTTTCTCCTCCCGAAGTTTGTTTTGTGGTCGCCAAGGCAAACAATGTAAATATCTGCAGCTTTTCAAAGTTGAAAAGGGGAAAACTAGCCAAGCATTTGTGGCCTTAATGTTTATCTAACTTATTTATTTATTAGCTTTGCTTGCAGTCTTTAACTTGTGTATTCAATAACTATTTTCTTGTTACTAGCTATTTATGAGGTTTTGAACTCCCCACCTGTATTTATAAATACTTTAGAAACAAATGGGTAAACATATGTTTATTTACTTATTTATATTTGTATGTTTCGAAAAATAAGTTCATTTCGGCTTAGAAGAGTTTTAAAATCTACTTTCCCCTTGATATTACTGTCTGCATTGGTGCATTTAAAACATATACAAATTTAAAACATAACATAATTGAAGATAAATTTTGAAAAAAAAAATGTCTTAAGAGCTTATACGTAACATAATTAGAAAACTTATTTTGATTCAAGTGACTTTTTTTTTGTTGTGAAACTTTTTCCTGGCATACGTATCGTATGAGTAATTTTTAAAACAAAAAATTCAGACGTGTTAATCTTAATGTTTCTGGATTTCAATTATTTATTATAGGTGGGTGCCATTAAAAACTTTGATTTGGAACGGATGATGGGCTGCTGGCACGTTGTGCAGTATTATGCTTCCACGGAAGAACTGCCGGAATACGCTTGCATGCGTAGTCACTTCTCCTTCTCCAAGGATGATCAACATGTGGGTGCCTGTGATTATTCTATAACCCGATATATACATTTTTGTTTCCCATTTCAAATAGATAACGATGAATTTTAGTTATATATTCGCGGAAGATCCGCTGCGAGAGAAGCTTGTCGGCAATATCACCTGGATGATACCCAAGTTCCAGGAGCCGGGACACTGGCAGCACACGGAGGATATATGTGAGTACAGAGGAAATAGTCGTAGATTATTTATGTTATATTATAGCAGGAGAAGCCTCAAAGTATGCAACACATTTTAGGTTTAGCTTAGCTGAGATTATAATTTAATTGCATACTTTTAGGAACATACATTGAGTGTTTCCTGAAAATTTTTAAGGTTGTAAATTCTTTCTAAAAAATTTACTTAATTACTCAGATTTACCAAGGATTGGGCTAGGCTAGATAGATAGAGATTTGTTTTAAAGGGTTTTTTTGTGTTTGATCTGCTTAAAATGAAATTCGCATTAACATTCCTATTTCATTCCAGATGAGGGCATCTACAATACGTACGTCCTGGATACGGACTACGACAACTGGGGTCTGGTGATGCACTGTGCCGAAAAGAAAAAGCAACCGCGATACCTTTCCGCCCTGCTTTTGGCCCGCAAACCAGCGTTGGCCGACAATGAGATCAGTTTTCTTCGGGGCAAGTTGCCGCAGGACATCGACGCATCCTTTATGTTCGACATCGGTCAGGAGTCTTGCGACAATCTGATGGAATCGAGTCGGGACGATCCGCTGGCCTATGTCCTAAATGGCCGCCAGAATGCCAAGGAGATATTTAAGATTGTCAATAAGCTGTGACATATATGTATTTATTACAAAAATGCATCTTGCTCTTAAGTAAGATCCTTTCAAATAAGTGTTTGAAGTCTATAATATATAATCTTTTATCAATACATATTCTGCTTTATTAAACTTAAATATACTGATGTGTGTTACATCGCAAATATGATACACACTCACAGTAAAGTTTAACTTATAACCTTTTAACTGCTCATTTTTTTAATAGAAAACTAATTTTCAATAAAAAATCTAAATTTCGCGCCAATTATAATGATTAAAATAATACATATCGATTTATGAGATAATTATTATCGATGCTTCAAATAAAAACACGAACGGAAACAGCTGACTTGCTAGAGTGCTGTAAAATTTCCGAAAGCAAAGCTTTCAGTGTTCTGCAATTCAAAAATGGATAAGCTGGATCTGGTCGGGGTTGCCTGCGCCTTGCGGCTGCAATTGTTGGTGCTGAAGCTATTAAAGCGAAGAAAAGAACAATTGAGGTAAGTTGATTGACACAGTGCTGTACGATAATATATGGGAAATTCTCAGCAGTGTCAATTAAAACCAAAGTGGGCGCTCTAGTCCAACCAGTGTTGCAAAGAACGGAAATCTGACTGGGCGATGTATCGCATAGTGATGGTGCGATAGGCAATAACCAGGCACTGCATATCGATTGGCGCGATTGCATACCTGGTACGTCTTCGCTACAATATTTGCCTTTACCGGTTCTGCTGCATTGCAAACGTCAATCAATTCGCGTAATTATTAACAATTTAGGTGAGTGTTGGCCACTGGAAGACAATCACAGCGGGAATAATGCAAAAAGACGAGCAAGTGTGCGTGGATTGCGCTCCTCGGTGAATAGGCGTGCGTGTGTGCTCGTCCCTGTGTGTGTGTGTGTGTGTGTAGGCCCCTGTATATGTGTCTCTTTTTTTCTCAATTTCCACAGTGTGCTTCTTCTTACTGCTCGGCACATTTTGTATGAGCGCTTGTCAAAATACGATTATAAAAATTTCATTTTTCCCGATTCGAAACGGCGTGATCACCCAAACAACTAGAAATAGTCGAAGAGAAATCTAAAACATTAAAATAAAAACACGCAAACCTGTCAATAAAAAAAGGAGCGGAAAAAGAGAGTGTGTGTGAAAGTGTGTGCAAGCAACAAGAAGCGGAGGCAAAAGAAAAAAAAAAAAACCAAAGAAAAACTTTCGTTAAGTTTGCGTTCCATGGTATTTCAACAATAAATTCCGCTCGCCAGGCCAAATTACGCAAAATAATCCCCTTAATGTATGTAATAGTGCGTGAGCATTTGCCCCAGTCTGTGTGTGTGTGTGCGCCCCTGTCCGTGTGTGTGTGTGTGACATGTGCATAATTGTATGCGTGTGCAGGATAATTTGTCAGAAAAAAAAAGTTGCAATTCCTTTCGATTATTTTGCAGCAAAATGAGCAGCTCCGAGGAAGTCTCCTGGGTCACCTGGTTCTGTGGACTTCGTGGCAATGAGTTCTTCTGCGAGGTGAGATATTACCCACCATATTTCCCCCGATTTTCTATATTGGCGTTATCTAAGCGCGCGCTATAAGTGCAACAATTGCAAAGTGCAGCCCTGAGCTGCGGCTGTAAATATATATATATATGTGTGTGTGTGTGTGTGTGCCGCAAGGTGGGGCAATATTGTGCCCAACTGTACACACACATACACCAGATACACCATATATATATAAAGATATATATTCCATGAACAGATCTAATTTCCCTATATATATATTCCAGGTGGACGAAGACTACATACAGGATAAATTCAATTTAACTGGTTTAAATGAGCAGGTGCCTAACTATCGCCAGGCCTTGGACATGATCTTGGATCTGGAGCCGGGTAAGTGGTCTCCCTCTATAAATCCAATTATCCAGCTTATATATTGTCTGATCCCCAGAGGACGAGCTCGAGGACAATCCCCTGCAGTCCGACATGACCGAGCAGGCCGCCGAGATGCTCTACGGCCTCATACACGCTAGATATATACTAACAAATCGCGGCATCGCTCAAATGATCGAGAAATATCAAACTGGCGATTTCGGACACTGCCCACGTGTCTACTGCGAAAGTCAGCCCATGCTGCCCTTAGGTGCGTAAAGGGATCCTTAAAGTAACCGTCATATTTAAAGTATCGCAAGTAGAACAAATCTGCCTTCAATTTCGCTTTCCTATGTAACAAATCCTTGAAAAACTAAATTTCATTCAAATTTAAGGCTTTTCAAAGTAAAATATTTCTTCTGCTTGATATAAATTATTTTACTGATATAACAGATCATTTAAGAACCTGTGCAAAGTAAAAAAAAAACATTATCCGTAAGCTGCCCACGTAAAATGTAAGCTCTACTTAGAGATAATTTAAATCCCTAAAGAACAGATCTTTGAAGTTCCAACAGTTCCATCCCCAGAATGACAGAGCGGTACAAAAGCTTCCTTGTTCATAAGATCCTTGATTGAGCCCATCAAACTTAAGCCATAAACATGTACTAAAGCTTTTTCTATTCGCCGAGTAACAGATCCTCAAGGGACCTGCAAAACCTATCCCAAATTATAGGATATGATCGCCTTCATTTTTAAAACATAAACTGAAAACCTATTTAAGCATTACAGATCCGTTTAAAATCTTTCGAAGTCGAACCTAATGGTTCGTTATTCATTAACATTTATCAATAACGCTATCCATATACAAAATCTTTTTGTCACACGGCTTCTAACTAAATGTCGTTATATTTTCCATCCATATCCATTAGATTTTGATTCATAGAAGGACTTATGTCAATATTAATAACAATTATGAACCTATACTTAAAAAAAATGCCTAAAATCTAAAATCCGTCAGCATAAATTTCCCCTTAAAAATTGATTTTACCGCGGCCCCCTACGAGAAACGGATGATAAATCGTAATCCAAACATAAGCACTTCTATTTCTCGTATTTCTTGAAAATGTGCGTTGTCAACATCATTAAATTACTTAACTTTATCTAACGAAGAAGGAGATTCAATTTCAAAGAATTCGATAGATTGCAATACAATCAATCCCCTCGCTTGTGTTTGGTTAAGCCAGACGGGTGTGAAAATGATCGGAATAATAAACATTGTACTTGTATTTGTTCATAACCAACTATTGCATGATTGTGATCCTTCTTTTCTAATCTTCTAATATACAATTCAAAAAATGGTACTTTAAAGTTGTTAAAGTTATTAACTTGATCCATACATATCTGCAAGACGCAACTCAGTGACTCCTAATAATATGATATTCTGATGTTTCTCAGGTCTGTCGGACATCCCCGGCGAGGCAATGGTAAAAACCTATTGCCCCAAGTGCATTGACGTGTACACACCCAAATCGTCGCGCCACCACCACACCGATGGCGCCTATTTTGGCACTGGATTTCCACACATGCTCTTCATGGTGCATCCCGAGTATCGTCCCAAGCGTCCTACTAATCAGTTTGTTCCAAGGTGACTTTTTGAATACATTTTCCTCGATATACTTATACTCAACATCATTTTATACCTTCTATGTTTGCGAATATCCAACACGAATCCTGCAACTTTAACTACAAACAGGCTGTATGGCTTTAAAATACACAGCTTAGCTTATCAAATTCAGCTGCAGGCAGCAGCCAATTTTAAAATGCCACTACGAGCGGTAAATTTAAAACTTATAAACTAGCTATAGTCTTTACCCTTTATACCCCCACTCTCTCATCTTTTTTGTTGTATATTATTTTGAATCTAAAAATCTATATATTGACTAAAAACGCCACCTAAGAATCATTCAACTAAGCATATATATATATATATATATATATATTATATCTTTTTTTATTTGTTTTCTCTCCCCACACATACAAAACCACCAAACCAACCACCACCACCACAAATACCAAATCAATCCACAAAATCCGATCGACAACCTGAACTTGAATATGATACTGAATCTGAACGTGTCTCTGCCTGTCTGAAAAAAAAAACCTATCGATCTACAATCGATCGTTCCAATCGATCGATTCTTAACATTGTGTGTAGAAAAACTAATTCAATAATACCACCAACAACAAAAAACAACTACAACAACACAAACACATACGCACGAACACAACAAAAACAAAAATAATCCATACTGCATGTAAACCAAACAAAAAATCGAAACGATAGTTTACAACGGGAAGACCGATAGACAGCAACACACAACAACCACAACAACAACAACAACCACACTGAGAGACAGAGAAGCGAGACGGAGAGAGAGACAACTGTATTGAGGTTTTTGAGCGCCAGGAGCAAAGAATCATTTATACAAATATAAAAACTAAAAAAAAAAAACAAAACAAAAACAAACTGCGTTTATATTTAAAAACTTAAAAAAAAAGAACAAAATTCAACATTAAACAGAAAAATTGTATTACAAAACGAAATAGAAGAAAGGATAAACCCACACACACCTTTTCATTTAGCACATTCAAAAAAGTCCATGAGGAAACCTTATGCGATATTAGTTTTTATTTACTTCACTTCAATTTTTTTCTTCTAAACTAAATAAAAACATTCAAAAACATATGTATTATGTTAGCTTTTAGTATTACATAGAGCAGGAAATCCTTAAGATTGATTTTTAAGTTCAAGGACTATACCATTCATAACTCTCATAAAAACACACAAACACTCACACATTACACACATGCATATATATATATTATTTGCTTTAGTCAATTAACCGATTTTTGTGTTTTTATAATCGTTCGTTTCGTCACCTTTGATGTATGTATGTTTTTTGTGTGGCATTTTACAACACTGGCAGTGCAACACTTGACCAAAAAAAAATATAAAAAAAAAAAACAAGAAACAAACAAACAAAAGAGACTCGAATTAGACAGAGAAGAGAGAGTGTGTGAGAGAAAGAGAGAGATATAGGAAGAGGAGAAAGTAATTTAACGTAGAAAAAACAACGATATAAGCAACGTAGTACTTCCAAATAATAAAAAAAACAACATAACGATCAGCATTTACATATGTAAACGACAACGCTAATGATACCCTGTATAAATCCCATAGCAGCCAATAACGCCTGCGAATAAGCCGAAGATCCCCAAGCCAGCGGCGGGCAAGAATTAAGGATAACCCAGCTCCCTCAAGAAGAAACCGAAATAAGAGAAACTACATCCAATACAGTCATCCACATCCACTCACTTAAACAAACGCACACACACACACACACACATAACCCCAAAACACACACAGAACGAAGAGAAGAGTAGAAGCAGAAAAGCAACCGCTTGGAAAATAAGGATGTGGATGAGGAAGAGAGACGGCAGGCAGCGCCCACGCAACGAACCGAATGAATAAACAAGAAGCCCCAAAAAAGCACACACACACACACTCAACTCAGCCACACTCACACTCATGAGCATGCACGGACAAGCAGGGAAAAGGACCTCGCGCTGCATACTTTTCCCTTGTGTACACACTGTAATAAAACCAAGAGTAACGGCAAGTGTTGCCTTACCGTTCACAGAAGCAATAAAAATCGTGTGACAGTGTTCAACAATCAATCAAAAACGCAAAGAATACGAAAGATAAATAAATAGAGAAGCCAGCTTTTAAAATTGATTGCAGATTGTGTGTGTTCAGTAAAATTACAAAAAAAAAAAAAAAAAAAAAAAAAACATGGCTTCGGCTATGTTTCAGTTGTAGCGGCATTAACCGGTATAGTTTAGTTTTTTAAGGTTCCAATTAGGAATCGTTTCCATATTAATTCTACTGAATTTTTCCCTCCCCTTTGTTTTTTTTTTTTTTTTAGTTCCTTAATTCTAAACGTATTGTATGTAGTTGCAACAGCATTTCACAATTGTAATAATGTAGAATTGCATTTCTTCTGCCAAAACGAATTAATTCAATTTGTTTTTTTATGTTGTTAAGATCAATATGAATATTTGCGGAAATTATGAGAACGCAAAACAAAACAAAAACACAAACAATAAAACGAGAAGTGAAGAACGTTTTTTAAGAAAATTAGAAATAAAGTATAAATATATATATATGGAAATCTATATAGAGATCGATAGAAAGGCCGAGGACCGTTGATAAGTTAATCTGAAAGTGTGCAGAAAACTGTTTACAATTAATAAATGAGAAAATAAAACTAAACAAGAAATGAAAATAATGGAGAACAAAAGTAATAATAACAAAAACTAAAATAAAACGAAACTGATATTTAATATAAAACGCAGTCTATCATTTCGCCACTCCGAATCAGAGTTATTCCCTTACATTAAATATATCACGATCAATTACAGGTACAGTCAAAATAACATCAAAGAAAGCATTTTTAGTTAATTTGATATATGTTAACTCCTGATTAATAGGACATTACGTTTTAAAAAGATGGTTTTAGTAAAAATACGCCTTGACTATACTTGCTAAACCCTTAAGTATAGTCATATATCATACAAAATAGCAGAACCTTTGCTTTTCTAATTTTATTGATTTAATTTAGAATAGAAAGGTGCTTCAAAATTAACTTACTATAAGCATTTGTGGTAAATGTATTTCTGTTGAACTTACGTTGATCTTTATAATTTAATTCATATGAATGTTTGCTATTATTTTGACAGTAGTTGTTTAGTGTCATGTAGGTCACTTGCGCGTCACCGCTGTGTTTAATGTTCCATGTGCCCTCGCTACAGGGTATTTTCGCATACCTTTTTAATTTGATTTCACTTTTCCATATGCTTATGCTTGGCACCCCTCAAGGACTACATTGCACTCTGTCAGGAGATTCTGAGTCGCCCCGATCCCGAGGCCGAGGCCGAGTGATCGTCGTTGTGCGTAGAGCCCTCCCCATTTTCACAGACGAACTTCTTTCACTTGATCAAATATCTTATTTATGGAGAAATTATGTTCAAATATTTTTATAAAAACGAAATTGAAAATTCTTTTTTTTTTTTTACAGATAGTTTTGAAATTGTTATCAGTAAAGAAAATTTGAAATATAATTTCTTAAGAATTTTAATGAGCTCAGCTAGTTTTTTAGTTTTATGTATGAGTTGTAAAAAGGGTTTTTCAAAAATACGTGTTTTCTAAAGAAGTAACTTTAAACACCTTTTTTATAAAATAGGTTGAAAGGTTTAGTTATATTTACAGTGAAGTTAGAGGAGTTCTGCTGAAAATGTTTCTCTATCGATCATCCTGAATTAACCCACAACGACGATACACTGCTAAATAAAATCGGCTGTGACACAAGCTGACTGCTGCAGAATTCGCCTGTCCTAATTTATATATCCCACAAAATCCTACGCTTAGCTGGCCGACCCGAATGCAAATGTGAAACGAATACAACAAATAAATATTCTAAGATTATACATTATTGGCTTATTTTTATTATTAACCATAAATGGGTCTGAACATGCACCTCACTCGCCATATATACGCCTACCAATGTACACTATGTTTGGCACTGCTTGCTTTTCCATCTCCATGGACAACACAATAACACTCTATTACTGGCACTCCCCGCAAAAATACATTAATATGGGTCTTCGAGAAAACTCGAGAGATTAAACAAAAATAACCATTTACATTTTTATTCAGCAAAAAACGGACGGATTGCAAAATTTTGAAATACAGTTTTTGTAGCATACTTTGCGGTACTTTTTTAAGCAAATTCGAATCTCTCATTTTCTTTTCTACAAAAATCTGTATATGAAAACAAAATAAATTTAACTAAATCCTATTCCTCAAACTTTAAGCTAGTTTTAAAAAAAGAAAATATTCACTATACGTGCTACTCAAGTTACAAATTTAAAGTCTTTTTTTAATCTCTTGAGAATTCAGGAGTACACCATAAAATTAAAAAAAAATTAGCGTTTCAATTATAGCACACAGAGACGCAGAGACACACACATAATGAAGATGACTAAGAAGAGGTTTCGAAGGACATACATATCACCCCGGATTTTTATTGGGATATGTATACCATCAATTACGTTTTTTTCATCCTTCAGATAGCTTTCCCGTTGGCCCTGCCAACTCATTTGGTATAATACACTCAAGGTTCAGTCAACATCCTGCAGCCATTCCATACCATTATCAACCTCCTTTACTGTTTTCCAATTTTAAAATAAGATTGGCGGAGTGGCTATTGGCGCTATTTCACTTATACCTAAATAAAACTATGAAGTCATATATTAAAACAGAAATAATAATGAAACAGAAATTTATATTGAAATTGAATTTTTAAAATTGAAATCAAGCGTTAAAAAAAAACCTAAGCCTTAGCTCTACACTATTTTCTAAAAAAAAAAAAGTGAAATGGCATTAATTTTGATTCTGCCGAAATGAAACCATGGGGGAATTTAAACCCATTTACTCCTACAATTGATTGAAATGATATTGATGTGTGTGTTTCTTCTTTCTCTTCCGCTTTCTTTTTCTACTTTCTCCTTTTCCATATTTTGCCTTGTGTGTGTGTTATTTTATTTTTTTTTTTTAATTTAATACGATCTGATCCGTTTCGATAATGGTAATTCGCTGATCCGTGCAGCAACGTGGTCAGCCGCCCAAGGACGAAGAGCCTGAGAATAATGCCGATACGGTTCCCAAGCGCCTCTAAGCGCAAGCAGTGCAGCCAAGCAGTCCAGCAGCCGATACACACCCACACATAGAAACTTGAATACAAATACAAATACACACACACACACAGGCCAGGCCACACTGAGGAAAACAATTTTGGAGAAACGAGCGAGAATATGTTTACGATATGACCCAGATAGACAGGAAGGACCAACATCAAAATCTTCAACGCTGGATTCAAAAGCTGAAGAGCCATTATTCACACATACAGAAACGAAACACACACACAGTCAGCTCCTGTTTGAAAAATAAGAAAAGAAAATAGGATCAGGTGCAGTGCGGCCAGAGCTTTTGCGGAAAAGGTAAAAAGTAATCTAATAATAAAAAAAAACTTATTCAGTATAAATATACTTTTTTTTTTTTGCCACGAAATAATTGTGCAAACAACTGATTTTGCTGTACAATTTTTTTCAAATATTTAAAGATCTTTAATACCAATTTTAATATTTCCAATAAATACCAAAAAAGTGAAGAAAAACAATAACGTATTGAAATACTTTTGAGTAAAGAGTTTACAAACTTACAACTCTTATTCTTTCTGACTTTTATTAGATTACTTTTTGCCTAAATAAGATATGCGTTTTAACCTAAAGCTCAGATGGCACTGATCAAGTGTATTCAACTTTATTCTTTGCATTTTATTTACTAAGTGAAATGAGAGGGGCTAAACCGATTTAGAAATAGTTTTTTTTTTAAATATTTAGTCAAGTGGCCGGATTCCCACCTCTGTTCCTCATTTCTTCCCACAAAAACCCAATCCGAAACAATTCCTATTCCTAGGCTATTTGCTTCTTCTTCAAAGCGTACTACTTCAAAAACTTGGAAATATTGAAAGCTGAAAGCAGAAAACCTACAACAGCAACAACAACAGTAAAAACCAAAACTGAACGTGACCCGAATTCGAATTTTCGGTGTTCCCTTTTTCGAAATACGAGAGTGCATATACTTATATAGAAATACATATACATATAACATATAAACAATATACCGTTAGCTTATTTATATATGTACACACATACACATCCAGACCTGTTCCCAAATTCGAATTGAGTTTAAATTGAACGAATACGGAATTTCAGATATTTCCACTCATCCAAAGAGCCCAGAAATTTAAAAGTTATGCGGCGGGGTGAAATTTCAGCTCTTCCGAATTCGTTAAATTCAAGATCGAATGCGAAAACGAGAACAGAACTGATATTTAAAACAAAAACAGAAACCAACAAAATATTTTATGTATTTTTTTAATGTATTTAAGAATAATTAAGATTAAAACAAAAAAAGAATGAGGAAGCAGTTGGCGTAAGAAGATAATACCGTTATCGCAGGAATTATATAGAAAAACAAAGATAAGGTTGATATGATGCGCAAGGAAATGATGATGAATTTCGATGCCAGCGAATGAAGAAAAAACAATAAAGATAATGAAAACCGAAAAAAGCTTTTATTTATGTGGAAAATTTATTAAATAGAAAATTTTAGAGGTCGATGTTTAGAAATCAGAGCCGATTTTAAACCTCACTGGTAAGTTTATATAATTTAAAAAAAATCCTATAACATATTTTTAAAATTATTTTCTACATTTTAGAAGTTATTCTTATTTTTTTGGTTTTTTGCCCTAGACTTAAGAAAGGAAATGCCATTCATTTTAGAAAAATTTACCATAAAATTAGGGTAAATTTTATTGGAGTGTGATTTTTTCGTTTTATTTACTTTTTGTTTTTTAATTTATTAACAATTTTCTGAAATTTACCGTCAGCAACGTTATTTAATATTTGACCAAGAAATTTTTTTTTAAAACACTTTCGAGTTTAAGTTAAAAGCACTGATTATTTCACAAGAAAATTATCGAAAAGTGTTTTTTTTATAAAAATTTATAACAAACTAAGACCTCGAGTTTTTCATTTCGATTTATGTATGTGAAGTTTTTTATTTAACCAAATAAAAAAAATAGTAGAGACCGACAAAGTTATTTTGTATCTGGAAAAAGACCCGATTGCACCCAAATGTTAAAACAAATTACTTTCTTTTTCAATTTTTTTTTTTATTTTATTTTTAAATAAATTAGAAAATCCTTCGTAAAATCGAAGAATCCTTTTATAAAGCTTGGCTGATGTTGTGGCCGATGCTTTTTAGTGGTTTCTTGTGTTTTTGTGGTTTATCTCTTGCCGTTCGCATTCTCATCAACCTATTCTCCGCACGCCCGCAGCTCCCTGTGCCTTCTCATAGACGCTCCTCTATATCTCGTCATCATATAACCCGATTCCCCTGACACATTCGCAATGCCATTCGAAAATTTCAAATGCGAATGCGCCAGTCGAATCGGGCTATTACACGCTTATACATATAACATTTTTCTGTGTTTTGTGTTTTTTTTTTTGTTTTGTTGCTTCCGCTTTACATATCCGTAGGCTAGCCTATTGATTTGCGACTTCTCTGGGATTTCGGGGCTTGCAGTCGTCACAGTTATGTGTATATATATAAAAAAAAATGTACAGTTTTACATAATTATGCAGCTAACGTGGGGAAGTGGGCGGAAGGACGCGAGGAATGCGAGGAACACTCGAATAAATCGTGATTACATTTATCATATTTTTTGTTGACAAAAAAAAATACTTTAAAATAAAGTGTAGAAAAAAAAAAAATGTATAAAAAAGGATTGTGTTTGGTCTTTCTCGATTTTGACTTAAAGGTCGAATGGATGGGCGTAGGGCGGGGGGATGGCTGCTGAGGGGTATGCTGAATTAGTATTATCTGTTGCTGTTGTGGTCTCTGCTATATTTGATGTTCTTGTTGTTGTTGTTGCTGTTGTGGCTACTGCGTTTGCAATTAAGTTATAATTGTTTAATCAGTCTGAATTAATTCCAACACTATGATCTCGAATGGATGTGGGCTGGGCTGTGTGTGTGGGTGTAAGGGCCATCTTACAGCTCGTCCTTGAGATCGGCATCGTCGCCGCCCTCTGGGGGAGGAGCACCGCCAGCACCCTGGTACAGCTTAGCGATCACCGGCTGAACGATGGCCTCCAGATCCTTCTTCTGCTTCTTGTACTCCTCGGGATCGGCATCGGGATTCTGTTCCAGCCACTTGATCGACTCATCGATGGCCGACTCCAGCTTGGTTTTCTCCTCGTCGCTCAGCTTGGCGCCCAGCTTGTCCTTGTCGCCGATTTGGTTCTTCAAACTGTAGGCATACGACTCCAGCTCGTTGCGCGACTCCACACGCTCCTTCAGCTTCTTGTCCTCATCGGCGAACTTCTCGGCATCGCGGATCATGCGATCGATGTCCTCGGGTGTCAGACGGTTCTGGTCGTTGGTGATCACGATCTTCTCCTTGTTGCCGGTGCCCTTATCCTCGGCGCTGACCTGCAGGATGCCGTTGGCGTCGATCTCGAACGAGACCTCGATCTGGGGAATGCCACGGGGTGCTGGCGGAATGCCGGTCAGATCGAATTTGCCCAGCAGATGGTTGTCCTTGGTCATGGGACGCTCGCCCTCGTACACCTGAATGGTTACAGTGTGCTGGTTATCGGAAGCAGTCGAGAACACCTGCGATTTCTTTGTGGGAATGACGGTGTTGCGGGGAATCAGCTTGGTCATCACACCGCCCACAGTCTCAATACCCATGGTCAGTGGGTTGACATCGAGCAGCACAATAGCATCGGTATCCTGTTCGCCAGAGAGCACGCCAGCCTGGACGGCAGCACCGTAGGCCACAGCCTCATCGGGATTGATGCCTCGGGATGGTTCCTTGCCGCCGAAGAAGTCCTTCACCAGCTGCTGCACCTTGGGGATACGCGTGGAGCCACCGACCAGTACAATCTCGTGCACGTCCTTCTTGTTCATATCGGCATCCTCGAGCACCTTCTGCACAGGCTTCAGGGTGGAACGGAACAGATCCAGGTTCAGCTCCTCGAACTTGGCACGAGTCAGGGTCTCGGAGAAGTCATCACCCTCGAAGAAGGACTCGATCTCGATGCGCACCTGGTGGGAGCCGGACAGAGCGCGCTTAGCCTTCTCAACCTCACGACGCAGCTTCTGGACAGCGCGGTTGTCCTTGCGGATGTCCTTGCCCTTCTTCTTCTTGTACAGCTTAATGAAGTGATCCATCACACGCTGATCGAAGTCCTCACCGCCCAAATGGGTATCACCGTTGGTGGCCACCACCTCGAACACTCCGTTATCGATGGTCAGCAGTGAGACATCGAAGGTGCCGCCGCCCAGATCGAACACCAGCACGTTCTTCTCGCCCTCCTTCTTGTCCAGACCATAGGCGATAGCCGCGGCAGTGGGTTCGTTAATGATGCGCATCACCTGCAGACCGGCAATGACTCCAGCATCCTTGGTGGCCTGACGCTGAGCATCGTTAAAGTAGGCTGGCACGGTGACGACGGCGTGGGTGACCTTCTTGCCCAAATAGGCCTCGGCGGTTTCCTTCATCTTGCCCAGAACCATGGCGGAGATCTCCTCGGGGGCGAACACCTTGGCACCCTGCGACGTGTCCACGCTAATATGGGGCTTCGAGTTCTTCTCGACAACCTTGAAGGGGAAGAACTTGATGTCGTGCTGCACATTGGTGTCGGACCACTCGCGTCCGATCAGACGCTTGGCATCGAAGACCGTGTTCTCCGGATTGGTAGTGAGCTGATTCTTGGCGGCATCTCCAATGAGGCGCTCACCATCGGCGGTGAAAGCCACGTAGGAGGGAGTAATGCGGTTGCCCTGGTCGTTGGCAATGATCTCAACGCGTCCGTTCTTGTAAACACCAACGCTGTAAAACAAAAAAAAATTAAAAATAATTTAGTAAACTTGGACCTTAAACAACTGGAAAAATTACTATTGCCCACGTGTAAGTGTAATAGCTTAAATTGCATTTTAGAAGATAAGAGGTTACTGCGGTTTTTAAAAGCTTTTAGGCTGAAGAACTCTATTTAAGGGGTGGCAACCTACAAGCTGATAATTAAACGAATGAATTTTTTGTATGAAGTGAAATGTTCAAGATATTGCGATTTTGTTCTTTTTGTAAATAAAAAAATATTACACTTTTTAATTTAAAACATGTGTGCAAATGCAAATAAAGCTAGGTGCAAACAATTATTAAGCAATTCTACGGGGTTATTAATTTAAATAGTCAATTTTTAGCATGAATTATTTATTTAAATCAGCTCCAAAAAGCTAAATTATAGCAAGAAAACCCGATTATGAAAATTATCGCTATGATCCAGATAAGGCAAGTGGGCGTGTATGGGGTTAAGGGTTTGCAGGACAACTTACCAGGAATACGTAGTGCCCAAATCAATGCCGATCACTGTGCCCAGCTCCTTGTCCTTCTCCTTCTTCTCCTCGCCCAGCGAGAGGCCCACAAAGGCCACGACAGCCAGTAATATGCATAACCTCATATTGAAGATCTCTCAGAAACTGCAAATACATAAGTGAAAAATGGAAATTAGTAATTAATTTGACAATTATTTAAAGCTCGGCTTTTGTACACGTCAACACAATCACACACACAAACACGCACTGTCTTTAAGAGAGAGAGAGAGAGGGAGAAGAGCAACGACTGCTGACGTCGGTCAACTGTCAACAGGTAACCGTTAGTTGTGCCACTTTGGCAACCAGATTGTTTTATTCGTTGATAGTTCTACCTTTATCGGTGGGTCCTGTATAGTCAAGATCGGTTAAAAAACACGTCTACTCCAATGGCTAACTGCCCGGCAAGTGCTAAGCGCTGCGCTCATCTCGCTACTGACATTGACCGACGCCGACGTCGCAGGAGAGAGAGCAGCGAAATTTGTATACGTGTAACATTTTTCTGGTTCTTTCTTAGAGAGAAAATAGGGAGAGGAAGAGAGAGAGAGAGAGAGCGCGGCCGGCCAAATAACTGGTTTTCTTTTAGTTCTTTCACGCACTTGGAGAAAGTTCCCCACGAAAAACATAGTTTGCACAGCTGTTTGCTGCTCTCTAGGTTTATCCACTCAAGTTTTATTCTTTTGTTTCTATGCCCCACTGACGTGTACTTTTGGCCAGCGAGAAACAAAAGAGCCAAATATGCTTATAAATGACGTGTACCAAGCGGATTGAGCACTCACACGCACGCATAGCCCTACACCCACTCACACAGACAGCGGCATGCGCAGGCGCTCTTCTAAAATGAACTTTAAATTAACTGTAAAATAACTAGACCATTAAATATGAATTCGCAAAAAAATATTGGAAAATACATTTTAAAGAAGAATAGCCCCAAGTTCATTCACCCAACCGGCTATTTAGATATTAACATAAATTATGCGTCACGGCCAACCACCACGTCATTGGTTGGCTATTATTGATGCAACTTGAAAACCGAATTTCGCACGTTTTTAGTTATTTTGGGCACGTGCTGGCAAAATATTTTGTGGTGACAGGTATTTTATTAGACCCTTCATTTTGCCAACATGGCGACTGTAAAGTTTGCGGTGTATTGGTGGCCCTTTACCCTCTGTTACCGCCCCACGCTTTTCCTCTTTTCACGAATATTCTGGCAATGCGATTGCACTTTTAGTTATTGTTGCTAACTATGTATGTTGCTTCCTTTGACTGACACTTACACTTATTGCTTAAGAACTCACAGGTTTTACTTTGTTTCGATTCAATGTGCTTTCTCGACGCTTCAAAATGGAACTGACGGAGCAGAATTTGTAGCTGACTACTTTCTGACTTTTTTGCCGGCGCTTTCCACGCTCGCACACAATCATACACGGCAACACACACACGCGTGCAACTCTGGGGCCAAAAAGACACGTCAGTGGTGGTTTAGTGTTGGAAAACGAGCGTTGCGCCAGCAAATAACCGCCTTTAACAAAATGTTTTCAAAACAAACAAATTTTAAAGAATTCTAAATTACATTTTAGTATATTTGTAGAGATCTATAAAAAATCGTACTAGCTAGCGGTTTTTTTTATAAACCCCTAGGGCTTTTGTTATAAAGAAATTAAATTAAGTTAGATCAGTTTTCAAGCATTTATACAAATTATGGCAATGTTACGACGTTTAGTTTATAAATTAACAGTTATTTCTCACTAACTGCTAAAAGCAGCACACATTAAAAAAAAAAAAAAAACAAAAAAAGTCTGTTTACATTTTAAGTGTTCGGTTTGTTGATGCCAAAGTCTGCATGAATATATAGCATACATAAATATTTTCTTAAATTCTTCGAATTTGAATGCCAACAACAATCATAATTCACACATTTATTAATAATTTGAAGCTCTTTTTTGTACTTACATTTGCTAACTAAAACTATTAAAAAAATATTCACTTAATTAGTTAGTTGTCACTTTTTGTCACAGTAGTTTAGTCTTTGTTGTTTTTTGGCGTGGGTTTTATTTGATCTAATGGAAATGTAACGTTTTTTTGTTTATAAATATATGCGGTCACAGCGCGTTACGTTGTTCTTATTGGAATATTTTAATTTGCTAAATCGCGTATCTCTTTTGCTGTGCTGTTATTCCTTGTACTTTTGTTTTGAAAATGATTATCGCTCTCAGTATCTCGGCTATTTATTGCTCTTGGCTCCAACGTACCACTGACGTGTCGATGTTTTTAATTTTCTGGAAACATCGATAGGTCTCTGCCAATCGAATATATCAAACAAATATAACGTTATACCAAAAAGTTCGGAAAAATATAAAGCTTTAGAACATGTATTAAAGAATATATTATTTGTTAATTGTACGTTTAAGTAGCGGAGTTTCCGTTACACGTTTTTATTCCACAGAAATTTATAAAAACCTTACATAACTCTTATAATAATAAATTCTTTATACAATTTGATTGTGGAATGTTGGTTCGTCTTTAAAGGGTTAAACTACATTTGTAGGTCTATAATTTTTAAAACAATCATGATTTGTAATATTTTTAATTTTGTATTATGATTGTGAAGACAAATAAAATTTAAAATTTAAATTTACTATAGATATAAGGTTTTTTTTTATAATTCTTTAAAAATTTTATGTTTATCGATATTTTTCTAAATTTCTTGCACCTTTAGCACTGACGTGTCACACTCTCTCACTCTCTCCGAGGTCGTTTCTATTTGTTTACCCAAACATTTTCGGAGAGGAGAGAGTGAGATGTTTGGCCTTCTTTTTTGGAGTTTGTCTGATGCAAATATGCGTTTGCCCGAAGTAACGCTACCACTGACGTGTACGTTGCCCCAGGTTTACCGTTAATTTCCAGCTGTGTCTGGATGTTTACCGTTATTAAGTGGGGCGTAATTATTGACAAATTGTCGAGATTTCGGCTTTTCAAGATTTTGTAGGCAAAATATTGAGCCTAACAAATATTTATGTATATATTTAAGATTGGGAACTAGATTTAATTTAAAAGAAGGCTTGTTATTAATTTAATTTTAATTTTTAACTTTTGTCTAGCCAAGAAGATTTTATTGATACAAATTAACATTTATTTTTGTATTGTATATATATTTTTATTAAAATATAATTTCTGCATATAATATAAATAACTGTTAATAAAAGTTTTCCGGCTTCAACAAAATATTGTTTAAGTTTTTATATGAAGACGATTGTCTTTAAATGTGTATTTATTTTTGGATTCTTTATTGTTAATAAGAATGTCAATCTTCTTTGACAAACAATTTTAAAATAATTTAATAATATAAAGCAAGGAAGATTTACAGCCAAACATATGTATGTACACATGACTTGATTTGTTGTCACCCACTTTCTTTTTCAATTTAAAGTAAAAATAGTCAATCCCTAAATACATTTGTCAACTTTCTACTTTTGATGAAAATTCCAGAACTTAAAATTTAAATGTTATAAATAGCTTTGCTAAACTATTTCAAAATCAAATATTACTCATGATTTAATTCCACACAATGCGTAAGGTTCTTATTTGTCTTGCATTTCCCTGAATTTCAAAATGAATAACATTTTGGTTTTTTACAAAAAAAAAAATGAATTTGCAGATTTTTAGTTTTATTTTTATTTTATTAATTTAGTGAACGCTGATAAGATGTATTCCATGGTGCATATATAGCCATATAACATGATAAAAATGTTAGTCCATTTAAAATATGTTCGTATATATGGCCTAATTATTAAAAAAACCAACCAATGTATATCTGAAAATACATACTAAAAATACAACATTAAAAAGTAATATTTATTTAATTTTATTTGAAATTCAATAATACAAAATTGAAATTCATTGACCAGAAATCCACGTATATCTGGCAATTTCCAGTCATTTCGCAGATCTTCATTTAAAATGATATTTTCCATAAATCAATGAACTGCCGATAAGACCCATTCCGCAACATATGTATATGTATATAATATATAGCTCACAAAGCGAGTTCTTGAAACGTCCAGAAATTCTTATCAACTCGCATCCGCCCAAGAATAAAAAAACGCCCAGAGTTTCTTTGGTTTTTTTTTTTTCGACTTTTGTAATGACACTCAATCCATATCAATATATTTTCATAACAATACATAATAGCATGTAATAATCTTTTTTATCTCCCGTTTAGCGTCCCCATCGATATTGTATCGTATCCGTACATTACATTAAAAATTATATGTTGGCCAAATTTTGGTGTGGAATTCAACCAAAATTGTTTTAATGTTTTTTTTTTTTTTTTTTTTTAATTTGCTGTCGCAGATTGTGCAGGAAAAACTATGGACAAGTTGTACTTTAAGCAACACATTTCAATAATCTCTATTCGGTAATTTCGATATCTATATAAAAAAATAAAAAAAAGTTGATAAAAACTATGTTCCCCATGGCGAATTTGCTACATTCGGATTATTGTTAATGAAAACGATGTGACGTGGTCGAAGAATGGGCCACATCATTTGGATTCCACAATATTTAAAGCTTAACGACCATATGTATAAATACCATTTGCTTTACAATGCCGTCGTTTTTTGAGTGTTTTTGTCAAAAGTTTTTGGCTATTAGAAAAAGAACAAAAATCGCTGAGATGTACATACATATATATATATATATAAAAAATCGGAGCGTAAAGAAAAGCACATCGAAAAACGATTAATAGTTAATAGTTGTATAAGAGTATAGTTACAGTTGTTTGTTTGTTGGTTGTTTTTTTTTTTTCTTATTTTTTTTTCGGCAATAGAGTGCACAAAAATGGTTTGCTTTCTTCGTATATAATATATAAAGTTGCTTTAAATTGAATTTGTATGTTTGCTTTTCCTTCGCTAGTTGCTGAAACACTTGAGTTGCATAGATCCGTTTTTTTGAGTGTGATTTTAGTTTTTTTATGTGAGAGAGTTTGGTCCGAAACTGCGACACGAAGTGAGCTAATCTATGGATACATCATGCAGGCTCTATTGTTTTTTTTTTCTTTTTTAGATCTAAGGATCGTCTGCTAGTTAACAATATCAACATAGGGCTAGCTGCTTTTAAAGTTCAGTTGGGTCGGTTTGAAATATTTTGCAAACTGAAAAATTGTGAGACTACAAAGTAATCGTTGGATAATAAATACTTGGCATTTGGCCTTCTATTAATTGCTATCGTTTCACAAGTCACAGGAAATGGAGGGAACATTCAAAAACGTACAGTTTAGAAAACAGTTTCTTGAAATTGGTTTTAAGTTTGACTTTTTTTTCCATTTACAATAAACAAATAATGGCTCTTTCATGCTTAACAACTTTAAAAGTCAGCTATAGAACAGGTCAAAGAACCTTTTAAATATGAAAAAAAAAATTGTAAAAAATTTGCTCAACATAGCGGCACAGTTTAAAAGACCAACTGGTTTCAAATTATCCAAAGATTACTTTCAGCCAATGCGATTCTTCGTCAAACCAAATAGGGACCCATCAATTATTCATATATCTGTGTATATATAGTGGTGTATATATATATATGTATTCTGTGTTCTGCTTGGTGCGATGCGGTGGCAGCAAATCGTTTCATCATTATCATCATCATCCGTGTGGCTCCTCTATTCATGCCTCACCCCGCAAATGGACAGGAACGTACTGAAGTTGTGCAGACTGCAGGCGGGCAGCACTGTGTAGACAATGGCGGCCGTATCCTGGCACTTCAGACGGAAATCATGCAGTGCCTGGAGCAGCAGATCCGTTGCCGGTGCGGCATTAACCTGGTAGAAGAGTTTCAGGTGGATGGCCGGCAAAGACTGATGCTGATCTCCGCCAGCGCCGCCCTGTTGCGTGGTCATGGCCGCTGTTGGCGATCCCGAGTTTGCCGGCTGCTGTGGCGTTTGCTTTTTGGCCAGCGGATAGTCCTTAAGCAAACGATTCACCACATACGTGAGGATCTCGTCCAGATGCTCGGCACTGACCGATTGCGCCAGACGGCAATGGTTGCCCAATATGTCGTCGCTCAGCTGTGTCAATTGGGTGGTGGACGAGGCCAGGCCAGTGGACACATAGCAGACAATGGCCGCACAATTGTTCTCATAGTTCCAGCGACGTCGTATCGAGATGGTGTAGTCACCCACCGAACAGCCAGTCTCCTCATCTGTGAAACACGGTTAGCCCATAGGCATCATTAGATGAGAATGATGATTATTCTCTTTTTCACCCCCTTTTGTTGACTGACTTACAATCGAATCGATCGTTGTGGGTGTGCGCCCACACCTGCCATTCGACGAGTGCCTCCCGCGGCAACGCCGGCAGCACAATGTAGTCCATGATCGCATTGGTGGTGCGGCGCTCCCACTGGCGACGTGCCTCGCCAATGAAGGCCGGATGGGTCACAAAGCAGATGCCGTGCACCACATCCCGCAGCTGGCCGTGGGCGTTCATCGCCTTGGCAATGCGACTGATGTGGCGCAGCGTTAGCTTGCATTGCGGTCGGATGCCGCCCTCGATGATTGTCATGCTGCCGGGCACCAGGGCGATCTGCCCGGAAATGTACGTAATGTCGCCAATCTGCAATGGATTTGGGATAAGTATTATGCGATACTAGAACGGAGACAGTTGGGAAATCGTTTAGGCGTTCTACAACTATCTAAAAATATGTCCTCAAACATTTCAAGTCGAAGCAATATTTATTTTCAAACAAAAGCTACAATTTTTGGCAACCACATCGATATTTTTGAATACAAAAACAAGACAAATACCTGTATTTTAGATAATTAAGACAATGTGTTGATATTTTTAAAAAACTTTACCTAAAACTTAATAGTTTTCTTTCTATTGTAGTAAATCCAATTATTTTGTAATTTTTACTTTGATTTTTATCCATTGTAGTTGGTAAATATTACAACTTTTACATTACTTTTGGGATTGATTTGAATATCTGTAAATTTAATTTAAATTTAAACCATATTTAAATTTTTAAATCAAATAGGAACAGTTTTGAATCTATTTTTTTTTCTTATTAATTCGAATTTTTGTAATATTAAAGCAAGCAATTTAATATGCATTGTGGTTGATATAATGATTTAATATTTAGTTAAAAATATTTAAAAAATGTTAAATGAAATAAATAATTGAAATAAAATGTTGAATTCAATAGTTAGCTATTCCATTTGTATAGAAGTGTAGTTTACTTTGATTCTTGATGCTAGCTAAAACTAGACGTAAACCCAGTTAACGCTTTAAACTTTCGATAGCTATTCTTGTTTCCAACATAGACGAGGCTACACTGTAAGGCTCACCCTGGTTGACTGGCTGTATGGACCAATGTTGGCCGGCGCCCAGTGCGAAATGCCCTGCACATGCATCGTGTTCCGGCGTCCGTTGAGCAGCGCCGCCGCCGTCTCCTCGCCCTCGCGATCCCGCTCCTCGGCACTGGATATCGCACCGGCCACCGGCTGGCGGTAGGCGATGGCCTCCATCACCACATGACAGCCATCGGGCAGCGGACACTCGACGCAGACGCGCGTCGGCGGATTGTGAAAGTCGAAGGCGCGGTGATAGATCCGATTCAGTGCCGGATACTCGCCAATGGAGCGCACGTAGAGGGTGACATAGCACAGATCCTGCAGGTCGTAGCCCTTGGCCTGGCACAGATCGGTCAGCGTGTCCAGGGCCATCTGCATTCCCTGCTCAATGCCATCCGATCCGGAGCCTATCGAAGGAATAACCATGTGATTAGTACTCATTTTGGCAGTGAATGGAAATGGCAAACACGGTGGCCACCAAAAAATGCGGTTATATATTAATGCAAAACATTATTTATCTTTAGACAATGTTAGAAGGTTATAACTGAAGTTAAGATAATGCTGTTAATGTTGTAAGTATAAATTGAATTGACTGAAAAACGTATTAACCTATTTATTTCACTTTGTTGTGCATATGTGTTTAAATGTTTTTTTTTTTCATTTCTTAGTATTCAGGGAAATACAATTTTTCAGAAAGCAAAAAAAAAAAAAAAAAAAAAACATCATGAAGAAATTGAGCTACATTTGAGTTCTCTATGTTTTAAATGTAAAATAATAATTTGATTCCAATTTTTTGACAATTATATAAGATCATAAAACATAAATTGCAATAGAATTGTTGTTTTCTAAGCCTAAGTCATTAAAAATTATACAGCATGTTTTTGACATCCCATTTAAATTGAAATAGTTTTTAAGATAATTTGCTACACCAAAACATACATATACATACAAAACATACCAAGATATTAGAGATAAATAGAACAGTAATTAAAGTGATTAGTTAGTTATTTGTATTACAAGTTGGATTGACCACCGTGCCCGTGGATTAGAGATATAGATAGAGATAGAGAGATGCTAGATAGAGACTCTTTGGATACCCTGTATGCCAGCCAGCCACATCCAACCCTTGGCATTGATGGCCGCTCTGGCCTCGTTGGCCAGTGGACGGAACTCCCGCTCGTACTTCAGCGGACTGGGCGGCTGTGTGGTGGCCAAGGGTGCGCCAATGCCAGCTCCGCTCCCCGGATGACAGCCTGTGTTGGCGCTGAGCCCAAGCGAGGAGATGGCCAGCGACAGCGAGCCGCACACGGCGGCCGTGCTGCTGCCAAGCCCATGGCCAACGCCCTGGCCAGATTGTTGTGAGCTGGCCAGGCTGCTCAATCCGCCATCGGTGGCGGTGACGTTAGCGGTGGTGGTCAGCAGCATCGACGCACAGGCTGAGGTGGAACAGGTGGCCGGTCCTCCTCCTAGTCCACCTAACACTGGCGTCGCCGCCGCCGCCGCTGCCGCCGCCGCTGTGGGCTCGTCGACGCTGGCGCTCTTCGTGACAATGGGTATCGGCGAGGAGGCGGTGGCGGCCAGATGGCGGCCAAAGGAGTTGCTGCGCGAGATTAGCTCGCTTTGGCTGAGCGATTCGCGCAGTCGTGTCTCCTTCTCGATTAGCTCCAGTTCCGTTTCGCTAAAGTCCGGATCGCTGAGGTCACTGTATGTCGATTCGTTCAGGTCGCTTATGTAGTCGAGCGAACGTTTAACAAACACAACATCACCGCCGCCAATGCCGCCAATGCCGCCGACGCTGGCCGCTCCGACCGCCGCCTCCTTTGGCTGCAGCGTTAGTTTGGTGAAATTGATATAGCCAACCGGGCAAATGGGATCGGCACTGCTGATGATCGTCTGGATGTCCTCGACCACGATCCGTTGGCGAAAGAGCGGGCAGTCCAATGTGAATGTCTCGTACTCGCCCCCCTCGCCGCACACATTCAGTCCGTACTTGTCGCGCATCTTCAGCAGGTGCGGCTGCATCTCGCGCAGCGATTTGCCCAGGTGTCGATCCGGCACGAGGCCCAGCGCAGCCACCTGTATCCGCGCATATCGCGACATGGGAGATGGGAGATGAGAGATGGGCGATGGAGGCGCCAAACGGATGGTGGTTAAGCGGGGCCAATAATGCGACACAACACAAGACACCTTCGATAGACTGCTATAGTCTATAATGCTCTTTTGTTCTCGAAAAAGATTTCATCTCGACTATAATGCCTTTAGAAACGATTGAAACGATATGGATTGCAAAAACTCATACTCGCTGATTGCCTCTAAAAAAAGTGTTTAATTATGAACGCATCTACCCAAGTACTTAAATAGCCATTTTTAACTTTTCTTTTCTTATTTTTTAATTATTATTTTTATTCGACTATAATGCCTTTAGAAACGATATAGATTGCAAAAACTCATACTCGTCTATTGCCTCTAAAAAAAGTGTTTAATTATGAACGCATCTACCTAAGTACTTAAAAAGCCTTTTCTAACTTTTCTTTCTTTATTTTTTAATTATTTTTTTAATTATTATTTTTTTAATTATTATTTTTTTAATTATTATTTTTTTAATTATTATTTTTGTTCGACTATAATGCCTTTGGAAACGATTGAAACGATATGGATTGCAAAAACTCATACTCGTCTATTGCCTTTAAAAAAAGTGTTAAATTATGAACGCATCTACCCAAGTACTTAAAAAGCCTTTTCTAACTTTTCTTTATTTTTTAATTAAAAAATATATGCATGCCAAATTATTTAAATTTTATTTTGCAAAATAAAACTTACTTTCAATATTCTGTTTATTATCGTGCAATACTTTTTAAAGATTCCAATTTATAGGCAGATAAACAGTTAGTTAATAGTTTGTAAATTATTTAATATTACAAACGTTGCATATGGCAATTGAAATGGAATTCAGCTGCGCAACTGAAGTATTTGTTTACATGTGCTAAATATAGTTCAATTGGCAACTCAGCTGATAATTATAATGGGTTTTCATGTGATTATAAAACGTACCTCTATGTCACGTTCATTTATAATTATAAAGATCAATCGAAAGCTACGACAATTACTTAATTTATTATTTATCGTATGCAATGGATCCTTTTCCCTGTTCTCTTGTATGGGAAATGCCTTATAGATTTGCAAACCATCGAAAGTGTACGTGTTTGGCAACCTGACTGTAAAGTTGATCTACTTGTTACCTTGATGATGATGGCATGCACCTGGCAGTCGATCATCTCCTGCAGCAGTTCAGTCTGATCTCTCCTCCACAGATAGGCCAGGGATATAAGGTTCAGACGGCTGCACACGTTCTCCACCCGAACGCGTTGGTAGTCGGACAGGATGGCGCCCACGGCCACTGCATCAACCTGAAGTTCGTGCTGTCAATGGAGTCAAATGAAACGCACAAATTAGTATACACCTAGAAAAATTCAAGTAGAAAATGTATAAACTTTATGGAGAAGTGGCGAAGGAGATCAATCTATTATGGTAAAACTTTACAAAAATAGAGATCATAGAGTAAAATTAGAGAAGCTAAAGAACTGTGTAATACTTAAAATTACGTAGAGCCCATAACCCAAAACATGGCTAAAAATTGGAATTTAAAACCAACTTGTTTAACTTTTAAAAACTTTAAGTCATTATTTTAAAGTAAAATAAATACAAGTGTAATTAATTTGTTATCAGCCTAATGCGGATCAAATTGTAAATTGTAATTGTAAATTAAAATAAAGCCCGACATGTCGCGATATCAGCCAAGCGAATGCAAAAATGTAATTACAGTTTGAGTGCAGTGATACTGATAGCCCGTTATTATCACTGTGCCTTCCAAACTGTAATCACCATTTAAGTCTCCTTGGCCCGTTCGATTTCTTTCAGTTTTCAAGGGGTAAATAAACAATTTGTGCGATTACTCTTACTCGTATTGTGATTGTTTTGGTTTCGGTTTTCGTTGCGGTTTTGTGAGACTTTTTTTTTTTTTTTTTTTTTTTGTTTTTTCAATGTTTTTTCTTTTTTTATTTAACCCAGTGGGTCGGGCGGTTCACGTGCACGGCAACAGTTCGTCCCGTCTCGATTGGATGGGCATCGCGATAAGATTACCGCCCGGCGACTTTCCATCGCAAATGGATGTGAATGTGGATGTGCCGCCCAATTATGGAGCGGTTTGTAGTTGCAGTTGCAATCTGTGCTGCCGTCGATTGATGAGGGATGAGGATGAGTGGGCACGAGAATGAGTGAGCAAAAGCCCAAGGACATGGCACAACAAGCACGGTTTCACGAACCAAATCCCTCATCTGATAGCCTCACAAACACTTCACACAGCGAAAAATGTCGTAATTAAGTGTAAAGATTAATGTTAATACTAAATAAGTATAAAAAAAACTCATTTTAATTGATAACTCATCCCTATTCCGAACTTAACCTCATATTATTTAAGGTTATTAAGTAAAGTCAATTATCTTCCCGATTGAAAACCAAATTTTAACTTCAGTTCAATTAAAATTTTTTTTTTTTCAGATATTGTTGTAAAGATTCTTGCTGACCATGTTATATCAAAAATAATCAATAGTTAAAACTAAGTGGTAAAGCTACTAGAAAATCCTTAATTTGTTAACAATTCTAATCTTCAAGTTTAAATTAAAAGAAATGAAGGATAAGTCCGTAAAAAAAAAAGAATGCAAAATAAGCAATTCAGTGCAAAAAAGATTGATTTCTGTAAACTAAATATGATATCAATATTGTGATTAGGGGGAAATAACTTTTTTGTTACTGTGTAGGTAACCTACACCAACGGAGAGGCGCTTTTTCCATTAAGAGCTATATGATATAACCATATCTGATAACGCACGTTTGCGATTCCACAATTTCACCGAAAATAAACAGGAGAAATAAACAAGTAATTCACAATAATATAGAGAAGTAATAAGGTAAACAAATGCAGTTTTAACGAATCGATTTCAACTCAAAACAATCAGAAAGTTTCGCAGAATTCAAATTGCAATCCTTGAATCGGTCATACATATTTCCCAATGCATATTTATTGACCAGATTCTGGGAATGGGTATATCAATAGCAATGGCAACCCCATTGCCTCTTTTTCTTTTCCTTATCAAAGGGCTTAATCTGAGTTTGTGGGTGGGCGGGGGGTAGGGGAGGGGGGCAGACCAATCAAAAATCAATCAATCAATCACCTTGCATGTCTCCAGCAGACTATATAGATCCTCGACCTCGTCGTCATCGGTGGGCACGTACTGCTTGCCGGTCTGGGTGCTCTTGCCCTTGGTTTCGCGCCGGTAGAGCGGCAATCCCATGGCGCTGGCCAGAATCTCGATGCCCATGTGGCCGACCGTCTGGTACATGAAGCTGTCCAGCTCGTCTGGAATGTAACAATTTAGAGACAGCGGCAAGAGATCAAATGGCTGCGGGTACACGGCGAATCGGTGGTAAATGATTGCGCAAATAATAATACCAATAATCCATGGCCTTAATATGGGCACTGTCGAATTTGTCTACCTCAAAATTTCAATTTCTATATTAGTTATAAATAAACAAATTTTAAATTGCGTTTGCATTATCCGTTAATATTTGTTTTTAATTTTTCGTCTTCCACAAAAAAAAACTGGCTTAAAATCGAATCAAGTTAAAAATCACGTCAAATTAATTAAAACTCAAAAGAAAGATTTGTTATTATATTTTTATATAACCAAATTAACTATTTTTAATAAATGTAGTTTACTAAGTTTTAGCTAGTTTTTTTATAATTTCAATTTAACATGTCAAATTTATTCGATTTTCTATTTTTTATGAGTGTTAGTACAATATCTTAACAACAATATCAAAATTGGACAGCTTAATCTCAAAAACATAGCTTCGTTATTTATTTTTAAGGATAGTTACATACTATCCTAATGATATTGTGGGAACTATCAGAACTATGTACATAAATAGACGTAATTTTTGAATCCAGAAAGATTTTATGATTTTTATCGCCAAATGGGATATATACATTGACTTGCAGGGTTGACTTTTGCTTATCCTTTCGGCATTTAATAAATTGCTTTCTTAAGGCAAATAAGTGTCTTGATACTTTTTTTTAATTTTACACGAATGAATTATTAAGGGTATGATGTACATACATATAGGGGTAAATACACTTCGAACTTCTTAAGCTGTGGCTTTAGTTTTATATTTGGTGACTTACCTCTGTCCTTGGGATGCAGATTGGCCAGGGCGACGATTTCGTGACCCTCGGCGACGCACTGCATCATGTTGTAGCAGCTGTCCTTGCCGCCACTGACCATGGCCACCACCCGCATCCTGCCGCCGATTTTTCTCAGTGTTTGTGGGTATGTGCGAGTGTGAGTGTGTGTACTCCTGCTTCTTCTTCTTCTTCTTCTTCTTGCCTTTTATCTCTTATATCTTTAGCTTTATTTTTGGCTTAGTTTGTGCTGCTCGTTAGTCTCGAAGTGCGTGCTCATTTGGTCTGCTTTGTTGACTAGACTGATTTGCCGTGTCTTTTGGTTTGTTTTTCTATTTTTCCGCCGCCGCTCTGATGAAATAAAATGCAAATGCAAATACAAAATAAGACATAAGTTAATTGTCTGGTTAAAAGCTTTCAAACTGTAAAAGTGGCCGTGTAATTGTTTTAAAACCTTAAGTGCTTGTTGCTCGGGAAAATTGAATTAGAGCAAAACACTCACACTCAAACGATCTGATTGCATTATCACAGGACCTCTCTGTCTCTCTATCTCTCTCTTCCCCTTTTTCTAATTGGAAAATTGCACGAAGGTCACACAAACACACACACACACACACACACATATATAACATTCAGTTATTTTGCTTGCATTTGTTTAGAGCAAAATATTTAAACGTGTATAAATCAACGTTTTATAAATAAATCGAATTAGTTGCGCCGGCAGAAGAAGCGCGTGCAACAACAACAACGACAAAACATGCGGACCAGAAAAACAACAACAAAGCGCAAAGAAAACGAAAGTTAAAAGGAAAGGAAATCAAGGAAAAGAGAGTGTGATATACCCACGCACACACTCACATACACATACACATATACAGATCTGACCCAAATATAATATTTTCAACATATAACATTTTCTTTTCCTTTTGTTTTTCTTTGGATGAACTCACTCTGGATACCAAAACACAACCTAGCACACGCACACAGGCGCAACCGCAAATAAACACACACACTGCGAATTTCAAAAACAACAAACACAGTGCCGTGGCATTTGTGCAAAAATATTGGCAGACTGATCGGGTTCCTCGAGTTATCAGGATAACCCCGAAAGGACGCTTACCGAACCCAGCTGGCGAGCTTTGCAATTGTTGTGCGACAGAACTTTACGCCAACGTAAATGGCAAAAAATTAATTTTTTTTTGCCGCTAATGCAGCGCCAGTGTTGCCAAATGGCGCAAGTCGAAACATACTGAATAGTTGCGGCCTAGCACAGGAACATACTAAAAACAATACTAAACCAAAAAAAGCTTAAACATATGTGCACTTTAAAAAATAAGTGGTCAATTCATATTCTACAATTAATATTAATTTAACTAAAGGGAATATCATTTATCGTTTCATAATATTTCAGAAAAATAGACTTAAAGATGCTTATGGTTTTAATATTATTTTAAACGCTTAAAGTTATGATAATAGTAATGTAATAACAAAAATTTGAGTATCTTATTTATTAACATTTAACAAGTTTTACATTTTGTATGGTGTTTTTAATTTCAGAAATATTTCGAAATGGAAAGCCTCTCCATTCCCGCCACTGATTTTCTAGTCATTTTTTACTTTTATTATTAATTAAGAAAATAAATATCCATTTTTTTATTTTGTTCTAAGAATTATTGTTTCTGAAAGAAATTTTAGCAGAATTACATTTACCACGGCAAAATTCTCATGCGAGGTTTGAGTCAGCACTAAGATGTCTTCAAGTTGTATATTTTGGTATTTTTACATTGCGGTACGGTATTTTTAGAGCATCTGGCATTGCTATCAAGAGCTATATTTTGGACGTCTCGGAACGGTCACTCTGAATTAAAACTTCAGCCCGTTAAGTTGGAAAACAGCGAGCAGAGCAAAAAAAATACAACCACAGCGAAGACGCACACACGCACACATAGACACCGATATTTCCCCGTTGTTAAGGCGAAAAAGTGAAAAATCAAAAGCTGCGTTTCTTAGCCAATTACCTGTTCATCACAATCATGAAGTTCCAATACAAGGAGGAGCACGCGTTTGAGAAACGTCGCGCTGAAGGCGATAAAATCCGTCGCAAATATCCAGATCGTGTGCCCGTAAGTAATCGAATATACATATATACATTTAGCTACATACGTGCATGTACATTCGTGTATGTATGTACGAGTTTCTGTGTATGCGTTTGTTTTGCGTCGTTTTTTTTTTGTTTGTACCAAAGAAAATCAATACTGCGCATATTGGGTATTTTTCGGTAAATGTTGTTAATATTGCAAGTGCAAAATCAGGTGGCAGAGGGAATTTGTTGCATAAAATGCAGTGCAGCTGGGAAAACATTTGCGAATAAAACTCTTAGTTGAAATTTAAACGAAATTGCCCCCCCCCTAGCACACACACACACTCATGTACAGAAAAAAAAAAAACAAAAAGAGAACAAAGCAGCCGTTTCACTTGCTCAGCTGTTAGATGTTGTTGTTTTTCACTGCTTGATTTCATCTGTTCTTCTCGCTCTTTCCCCTGCTCCTTTAAGCCTTTACACAGCAAGAAAAATTAGATGATTGTATATAATATGAAATGTAACAAATGTGAAAAGCAATTATTAAAAATGTCTAAAACACTTTTATTATCTTTTGTGATCTTAATTTGATATTATGTTAAAATCAATGAAATCATGAATTTAGAGCAAAGTAGATTTCATTTTTAGCCACAATTTTTTTCGCTGTACTAACCAGTTGTTTTTGATTTTAATTTCGTTTGTTTGCTTGCAAAAACGAGCGAGTACTGCGCATAAAAAAAGTCACTCACTAATACACGTTAGGCTCCTTGTTTTGTTTTCACAAACACATATAAATAGCAACTGGAATTAGTCATAGATGTGCTAAAAACAAAAACAAAAAACAGAATAGGGGGAAAAAAACAAGTGGGTGAAGAGGCTCTCCTCTTTTGTTGTTTTTCTGCCATTTCACCACCTTATCAGCAAACTCCTTTCCACGCAACCTGAAGGTGCCCCAATCGCAGCAAGTAGAGTGCATTATATTTTCACTCGTTGGTCGCTCTTGTTTTCGATTTTCATTTCGATTTCCCGACTATATACATACATATGTATTATTATTTTCGTTTGTTTTTGGCAAGTGCACAAGTGCCAAATCGCCAAATCACATAACAGCTGAGCGAGGGGCAAGGCCAGCTGGTCGGACCATATATATATATATATATATATATATGTTAAGTACGTACTATATCATACTAATACCTTGATTTCGGCCAATGACGCTAACCAAAATCGTTGGGATAGAGGATATATAGGGGGTATAGCTAAATGAAATGAGCAGTCTGCTGATTTAGTATTCATTATGTTGCCGTAGCTTCCTGTTTCAAACCAGTTTATCGAAAATTTGGCCAAAGGCTAACTTATAACCCCCTTGGCTAGAACGTATCGTCGTCTAGGCCAGTGAGTTGCTGATTGTTCTAATCTAAATGGAATGCAGCATTTAAGATGTATATTGCCCATCTCAACTCAAAATACTTAAACGATGCACTTTAAATAATTAAAATACTTAACAAACACTTTAATTCGTTTGAAATAGAAACTAAGGGTGCGGGTGCTAAAGATTATTAAAAATTATTTACGGGGAAGCCTTTTTTATTCAAACTGAAACACACACAGAGAAAAGGGTAATAAGCAGATCGAGAGTTTCATGAGTTTGAAGTAGTTAAAATCATATGGTCAGATCTTAAAATGCCTTATTCTCCAGTACAGAATTTAATTTAATTTAAATTTATAATAAAATCACAAACGACATCTAAAATTAACCACGAAAAACACGTGTATGTAATTAAATGTTCATAGTGGCGAAATTACTAAATGCAGCACACGAAATTAGTCATATAAATTACGAAATTACCCATTTTAGTCCCTGCACCAGTTGTTTTTTTAGTCTGAATCAGTTTGTATTGTCAATGTTTATTGGGCTGTTTAAATCAATACATTTAAAGTAATTGGTTTGTTAATTCTTTTTTTTTAGTTTAAGGGTGGACAGTAACACCTTAATAATTCTTAACTTAATATAATATTTGAGCCAAAATTGTTCAAATTGTAGTTTTATCGCATTCCAAGGTAGCACGTATTCGAGCACACATGCCAATTATATTTACTTTGAGAAATGCAAATGCCATTTATTGACAAATAGGTGAACATTTTTCGGCACGTAATCAGGTGCGCACTCTTTATGTAGTTGATCAACTTGAGCTCATCCCCTGTTTTCCTTCATCGTTTATTATTAGGTGATCGTCGAGAAGGCACCCAAGGCACGTATCGGTGACCTGGATAAGAAGAAGTACCTGGTACCTTCCGACCTGACTGTCGGCCAGTTCTACTTCCTCATTCGCAAGCGCATCCACCTGCGTCCCGAGGATGCCCTCTTCTTCTTCGTGAACAACGTCATTCCACCAACATCGGCAACCATGGGCTCCCTGTACCAGGTAACTACCATACCTATTCTCCTCCCACACAAATTCTAACGTCTTTTTGCCCGCACAGGAACACCACGAGGAGGACTATTTCCTGTACATTGCCTACTCCGATGAGAATGTCTACGGCATGGCCAGGGTCAACTAACTCTGCTCCGGTTTGCATCGGAAAACAACCCCCTATACAGAAATCTATATATATATATAAAATATATTTTGTGTTTAGCATGCAGCTTAAAATATGGACGCGAGTTAGCTAAACGAATTGAGGAAACCGCAGGAAATGCCACACAAAAAGAACTTGAAAATGATCTGAACCAGGGCAACAAAAAAATCCACAAAACAGAAAACTACAAAAAGAATTGTTATGTGAACATTATTTTTTATTTTATATATATACATTTTCTAAACGCGTTAGTATTTCAATTAAAATCTGCTTTGTCCTACCATTAACCCCCCGAAAACAGATCTATTCACACTCTTCTTCGGCCCATCTAATTTCCATTGCTGTACTTGATCCGTGCGTTTGCACTACAAGTACTTAACTTTACTTTATTTGCTTATTTCAATGATTTCACCCTATTTTTTTTTTACAATACAACAAAATTTTGTGCATATTTAGTGTGTATGGTTACGAATAGGACTCTCTCGGTTAAGTGTACGGTAATTAATCTATTATTAAATAAACAAAAACCACAAAAATACATATGTATGTCCAGTGTTTATGGGGGTGCCTTTGTGGTTTTTCTTACTTTGGTAAGAAACCAAGATAGCTGCCATATTTAATATTAAAATCACTTGAGTATGCGATAGATGACTGCAAAAAAAAGTTATTTCTTAATTGTTTTTTCCTTTGTTTAACGAACAAAAGGTTGTTATCTCTTTAAAACAAATTCGAGTTCGTACAATGGCTAGGTGATTTTTCCTCCATTTAATATTGGTTGGTTGGAACCATTAACACATGCACTATAAAGCAGTCATTGTAACATAATAATTTATTATAATTATTAATCTGGTCAGAAGAAAATAGTTAGTAAACAACGTTAATGTTTAGCAGTTCAATTGTTTGTTATAAAAGGCATGTTAGATCTTTAATGGTCTATTTGAAGTTAAAAATATTTTTTATTAAATTACGCTAACAATTCCAGTTACGTAGATTGACCATTTATTTTTGTAGTTTTTGGAGTTTTACAACTTTTCTTTTTAGCTCCTTCTTGTACCATAGTAACAATAGTATGCGTATATATGTACGGTGACTAAGTCTCTTTGTTTCGCATTTGCTTTTGTCGATTGATCAGTAATCTTATCGCGACGAGATTTATTATGTTTTCTATTTCAAATCGCCGCCTATTAGCAGATTTTATGGGCACACTGTTCAGTGTTGAACAATTGTAAGCGATAGCAAACATATCGATAGCTTAAAACAAATTATCGGAGAAACTTTTGGAAACGATAGGCTGGTCTCACGGAAAGTTAAAACTATTAACAATTCGCTGTTTTCTTATGAAACATCGTGCCAAAGTGCAGGAGGCCGAGCCAAACGCAGATAGTCGTGCAAACAGGTAAATACACCTGACCATCTGCAAAAAAGCCGGATAAAAGCGGAATAGTTACAAAACACACCGAATGAGGTGCAAGAAAAACTAAAAACAAGAGAAAAAAAAAACGTTACTACGGCGATTTGTTTGTTATTGCTGTGCCAGTGTTGTTGTTGTGGTTGTTGCTGTAACTCGTGACGATAAGAAATTTGTAACAAAGTAAAAAGAACTCTTTTGATTCATGGTTGCAATTGATTTTTGTGCTTTGTGTCTGCTTTTGTTTTTGTTAGGGGGTGGATTAAAAAAAAAAAAAAAACCACCCACCACCCCCCGGGTTTTTTGAACTTCGGCAAAAGAACAGCTGCAACGATTGCCACATAAATAGTTTCATTTACAAAAATTAAAGGAAAAACTGAGCTTATTAAATTATGGCAAAACACGCTGACTAGCCTTAAAAAAATAAAAGAAAATGAAAAGTAAACGAAAAAAAAAAAACAGCCGTCAGCTTGTTTTTGTTGTCTTTCGCCCTCTCTGCTTTCTGTTCTTCGCTTCTGTTTTGCGCTTCTGATTCCGTTTGTTCTGCTTCTTCTTTGTCCCGCTTTTACGCGCATGTGGATTCGTTTTATTGGTGCTCGAGTATCGCATGATAATCTCACGCTATACGGTCCCTAGCAATTGTTCTTGTAAATGCTTTGTCGCCCTGCTTTTGTTTTTGTTTTTGTTGTTGTCGTTGTTGTCGCTGTGCTTTTCCGCTACACAAACACACAAACTATATAAAAATTGCCGAAAATTTAATACAATTTCCCAGCAAATCAAATTCAATTTAGAAAACTATCAACTGACCCGCATAGTAAGCGAAAAACAATAAAGAACGAACTGGAGAGTTAAAGGGAAATAAGCCGACTATTTTATACCTTGAATTTGCATTTTATGCAAAATGCTGATTCTATAACATGATCATATGCCAAACAGTAGTCGATTTTCATAACAAATAAAAGGTCTTATATTCTATTAAAGGTTAAGAATGTACATACATACATAAGTAGTTTAATTATTCAAATTTGGAACGATCGTTGTACAAGATTAAAAAAAAAAATAGCTTTTACATTTACAATTTATAAACTATATTTACTACTACATTTCTCAGTCATTACGTCTAACACAAAATGAGTTACTTTTGGACCAAAGCTAAGAAAACTATTCTTTTTAATTTAAAAAAAAAAAAAATAGTTAACATTACTGGATTATCGTTAAATCATTTATTATTAATATCTAGCTTTCTTAATTCCTATTTTTTGTTCCCACATGTTTTTCAACATAGCTTTCGAAACCGAAATAATATGCAACTTGAAGTAATAAATAGTGAAACAAAAATAAAAATAATTAAACCTTGGGTTGAAAATAATGTTTTTTTTTTTGTATTATTTATCTCGTTATAAGCTTAAGCTGAGCAAAATGATAGTAATATCACCCCATGGCAGGGCATAATGCAAACAAACCAAAATCAGGGCAAGCACGCCGAAACTATTCAAAATTACAAAATTTTCTGAAATTGTCGGTCTTACTACACGAATTTGAAAATATCCGACTAACGCACCATAGGGTATTTATTTTTTTTTGTTTACAACAAAACACAGCCGCTTGCCAGAAAACATTCGCTTAAATGTCCCAACACTCGAAAAAGGAGCAAAGCAATAGCCATGCGATCCAGAGCAGTCGACACACCAGCAGCAGCAGCAGCAGCATCAGTAGTAGCAGTAGCAACAACAAGACCCACAAACGGCAGGCGGCCAACGGCAATCTAAAGGGAAATAGTCACTCCCACTCCCACAGCCAAAACCAATCCTCAGTCCCCACCAAGTCACCCAGCAACAGTAGCAGTAGCAGTAGCAGCAGCATCGGCAGCGGCAGCTTAAGGAGCAGCATGCAGGACACCAGCACCACCTCGGCCACATCCTTGCTGAGCCGCAAGGAGAAGAACCAAAAAGACAAACAACGCGAACGGGAGCGCGTGGAACGGAGCCAGCTGGTCCTCTGGCGACGTCCCCTGCAGACAACCAAGTACTGTGGCCTCGAGCTGGCAGCTCTGCTCCGCACGTGGAGCACCAGGTGAGATGGCTGGTGGGGATGCGCACTACTATGCCCTACACAAAACCCAATACTTATCCTCTGTTCAATTACAGACTGCTGCAGCAGCGACTCTTGCTGGTCGCCCTCATAGTATTAGGCATCGTATTTAGCGTAATTTACAAAATAGACGGCCCCCATCAGCTGGCGATCGAGTTTGTGCGTCGGAACACATGGTTCTTCGTCTATTGGCTCGGACTGGGCGTGCTATCCTCGGTGGGTTTGGGCACTGGACTGCACACGTTCCTGCTTTACCTGGGGCCGCACATAGCCAGCGTCACGCTGGCCGCCTACGAGTGCAATTCGCTTCAATTCCCACAGCCACCATATCCCGATGAGTGAGTATATCCTTACTCGTAATACCTATTGCGGTTTTTCACAAATTATATATATATAAATGTAGCCGATAAGTGAATATTTCTTTACTCCAACTCCATTGTTAGTTAGTCTGTGTTTCATTAATACCATTTAAAGACTAAAACCACTACAAAATATTATGGTAAACTCAATATATTTCAACAGGTGTTTAGTACTAAACGTATTGGCACTAAAAAAAAGTCTAATGTGTTCAGTTGGCTAATTGTTTTTCTTGTATAAAAAGTACTTAAAACTTTGATAAATATTCACTTGGTATTATATTAGTTTTAAAATGTAATCAATGCATTTGAGTCATAAAACGTGATTCAAAAGTCAAATTTACTATGTAATTAGTTAGCACTGCCACTTAGAATGTTTGAGTTAAAAACCCACGTCAGCTAAATAAAACCAGCTGTTTGTTTGCACCTTTGTTAAAAAAAAAAAAAAACTAAAAACTAAATACTGTTTCACGCGTTCAGGAAATATGGCAATATAATTTAAAAAAGTATTAAACTTAATTTATATTAATAATTTTAATTAAAACAATGCGGTATCGATTTACAGCAGTAAAGTTTAATTTGTTTTAAATGTAATACACTGTTAAAATTTAAATATATTTAGTCTTCATCTCATACTCATATTGCTTGTGCTTTCACTTTTAATAAGACTAATTAATTGGATTAAATATTTACGAAGCACCATCATTTTTAAAAAAGTAAACTTATTTAAAAGATAGTAAAAATTAACTTATTTTTTGAAAAGAATGTATTGAGTTGTAATAATTGTATAAATTAATATATTCTTTGTGCGCTCCTAATTTACCCATTTAATTTGTTTGATCCCACAGCATTATTTGTCCGGAGGAGCCGTACGACAAGAAGGTGCCAAATATCTGGTCCATCATGTCCAAGGTTCGAATGGAGGCCTTCCTCTGGGGCGCGGGCACAGCGCTGGGCGAACTGCCGCCCTACTTCATGGCCAAGGCGGCGAGGCTCTCCGGCTACGATCCTGAGGATGCCGAGGAGCTGGCCGAGTTCGAGGCCCTCAACGCGAAGCGTCACCAAAAGAACCTCAGTCTGATGGACAAGGGCAAACTGTTCATGGAGCGCGTGGTGGAGCGCGTCGGATTCTTCGGCATTCTGGCCTGTGCAAGCGTGAGTGTCGATTATAGTTAAAATTTAACTAGTAGTGTAGGCTGATATTTCAAAAATAATCTTTATTCCCATACAAACATCGCTTACTTTTCGATCAGTTGCCTTCCGTATTGATTGCCAATAAGATTAAAATGTTCTGAAAATTACTTGAACATAGATTTATATAAAAAAAATTTAACTAGTAAAGTAAGCTTTTATACTTTAATTATAGCATAGTTTTGTTTATTTTACCTACAAGATTGATTAAAATAAGGTGATGATGGCATTTTATATCTGAAAATCAGGTTTAGAATATGTGCAAAACGACGAATTTGCATTGTCTAAATTATTAAAACTCACTTTATACAATTGTTTACCATAGATATGATATGAAATTATTTAGTTTACTTACTTATCTTTTAACCGATTAGATAAACAAGTCTTTAGCTAAAGGACAACAAAATTTGATTACTGAAATGTTTTCATTCTGCAGTCACAGAACTTTTTATAGAATAAGTTTTTTGCTTTAGCGTTTATTTGAAAGTTAATTTGATTTTAAGCTAGAAATACATTTTTTCAAATTACTTTAGTATTATTTCTTTTGATATTTAGTTGTAGGTATGATAACACACACGATACAAATTTTAAACAATATCATTTCAAATATAGTATTAATTGAAATATAAATCAATATCATATCAACGATAGTAACCATATTTATTAATACCTTTGCAGATTCCCAATCCGTTGTTCGATCTGGCTGGAATAACCTGCGGCCACTTCCTGGTGCCATTCTGGACGTTCTTCGGCGCCACGCTAATTGGCAAGGCCGTGATCAAGATGCACATCCAGAAGATCTTCGTGATCATCGCCTTCAACGAGACACTGATCGAGCGGGCCGTCGATCTGTTGGCCTCGCTGCCGGTGCTTGGCCACAAATTGCAGGAGCCGTTCAAGTCCTTCCTGAAAAACCAAAAGCAGCGACTGCATCGCCAGCAGCGTGGAGCGGCCGGCTCGGGCACCGCAGCGGGAGATTCGGGCAATCTGCTGTCCAGGATCTTTGAGACATTCGTTATTGGGATGGTGTGCTATTTCGTGGTGTCCATCGTGAATTCTTTGGCCCAGAGCTACCACAAGCGGCTACACAAAAAGCCGGCGAGCGGATCTGCGACCACGCCCACTCGACTGGTGGTGCCGCCCCTCAACCAGAAGAAGCTGGGCAAGCAGAAAGCTTTACGGGATTAGAGGATCGTATTGGATCGGTGAAAATGGATCTGCTCTTTTGTGAATCACCCTCAAAACCCAATTCTTTTTATTCGTTAAAATTATTTTGTTTATTGCGGCTTTCGCTCTTAGTCAAATTATTCTAAATGTGGAGTGTATGCGAGTGAAAGAGATGGCCCAACAGCCAGAGGAATTTACCTTGTAGACTAGATTAGGAAAAAAAAGTAACGCGAGTAGCAGAAAGCAGGCACATTAATAGCCAGAGCAAATAAAAAATAAATATATATATTTTAGTAATGTACAAGATAAATAAACTCAGCAATTTCTGTGCGTGTGGGACTATCGTTTTGCCGAAACGAAAGTGAGAGGGACGCAGCTAGTCGTCGCACCTAATGAAAAGTAAATCGTGTAAAAGTTGTGCAAAAGACAAACAAGCCAGAGCAAATAGAGAACCCAAAAAAAAAAAAAATGTAGCCAGGGGCAAGAATAAAGTTTAATAAAGAAAAAAAAAAACCATGTTTAAAATAATGCTGAAAAATAAACAAAATATACAGATATACAATTTAAAGCCACATGCTTGCATCAATTTGAATGGGAAATGTGGGTCAGGAACAGAAATTACTACTCCAAACGTAAGCCTGGCTAAATAATACAAAAATAAATGCTGAAAATTAAACGATATATGGATACACAAATAGAAGCCCAAATATGTATGAACGTATCAGTTTAAAAGGAACTGAAGTCGTATAGCTGGGAAGTCTGTTTTGACCATCATGAGGATAAGTAAGCTGTTCTTACGACTTCCGGTCAAATCGAATAAACAGAAAACATTAAACTAAATGTGGGTTGGGAGAAAAAAAAATGAAATAACTAAGTGCAAATTAATAAATTAAATATGGATATACAAATTAATGGCATTTCGATATTCAAGGCAATATATAAAGAGTAAGTATTCGATTTCATAAATTAATAAATTAATCAAAAATGGCCTGATTGAAATAGTTTTGGGGTGCTTTCAGATTTGTTTTATTAATTATGATAATGATTTATTAGTGTAGACATGTTGTTGGTTTTAAGTCTAGACCTTGCGTACATATTTAGTAATTTAGGAGCAGAAATAAAGATCGTTTTTTATTATACTACACATATATTGTAAACGCATATACATAATTCGAAATTTGATTGTTTTTAAGACTTTCGGTATACGTTTTAAATTTTATAAAAGTTTATAATAATTTTATCAAAAAATCGGCATCACTTCATTTATATTAAAAATTTAAGCATAAAAGTCGAGATATATGTATACTTTTTTATTTTTTTTTGCAATGGCTTGCCGAAGCTCTCTTTTCCTTTTTTTAAATTTAAATTGCAGATTAGGTTTAAAGGGACTTTTAAGTTTTTTTTTTTTTATAAAGAAACTTCAGTTTTATAACTTCATGAAGCAATGTTTGTAATCAAGTACCAAGAGAATTCTTTTTAAAGGAACGGAATAAACGAAAATGCTGAATAAGAAAGGACGAAAAACATTGCTGAAACCAGTTAACAGCAGTGGGAATAGAGGCTGAGATGTTAAGATAACACTAGTTAAACGCTTGGAAAAAGATGCCGCAGTTGGTTAAGCAGCCAAATTCGCTGATTGCTCGGGGACGCAGATTCGCAGAAAATCCGTTATCAACAGTTTACTAACAGCTCGAAATCAAGCTGGCACTCATTAAGCCAAATAGCTGCTGGCCCGTGGCTACGGACTTATTCATTTTCCCCCTCTCCTCTGAATATCCGGCTCGAAGGACAATTGCCGCTGCTGGCATTTTTAGGGGCAGAGAAGTGCGAGCTGGTGGATGGATGGTGGACTGGTGGCGATGATGCGGACGCGCTTTGAATGCCTAATCCTGTCAACAGTTACAGCTAACAAAAACAACTGGCAGGAAGGCAAACAGCGATGACAACTGCCAGCGGCAAACAGCGAAAGCCGTCACACAATGTCAACACTACACAACACAACACTACACAACACAACACAACACAACACAACACAACACACTCTTGAACGGATAGACAAACGGACTGACAGACAGAACGAAAAAGACGAGATGTGCGAAATGTAAGCCGTCCAGAACTTTGCACGTACGTTAAATATTTTAATTTAGCTGTCAGCATTTATTTAAAATGGACACACGGTAAGAGAAAAGGGTAACACAGTCGTACAGTGAAACCCAGCTGCGGGGTCCAAAGTCCGTGCTGCCCGGCAAAGCACACATAAATTCCACTTGGCTGCACGAAATGGTGCGTAGGGGTGTGGCCTCTCGACCACATGCACGCAAAATAAAACGACAGACAGACAGACAGACAGATAGACGGACGGACAGACAGACAGATAGACGGACAGACGGAGTCGCAGGACATGTACGTGAGTGGCACGGCAATCGCCTGTCGCCTTTGACATTAGTTGATACACCTCGCTGAAGCGAAGAGCAAAGCCTCCGTTTTGGTCGTAAAACGTTCACCTTCCTCCTGTTTCCCCACCCCACACCCCACACCCCCTCAACGTCCTTCACGACAAGGACCTTGAGCCTAGGGGCAAACAGAATAACAGAATCTATGTAAAGTTCTATCTCTGGCAGAGATGACATTCTGCAATTCGCAGGTGGAAAGTTAGAATTCCTTGCAGCACACAAGCTCTCAAGTGCAGCTTCATTGGGAGATGCTATTTTTTTTTTTTTTTTTTTTACCGGGAAAGTATGCAATACAATTATGCTGCGAGGAAGCGGGAGAGAAGATCAGGCTGTATAAAACCTAAGAGAGCGAGCGAGAGCAAATCAGACCGAGCCTTTATTCAGGACGAACAAATTGGCTATTTTATGGCCACTTCTTTAGCTAATAAAATGATAAATAGAGATATATTAAATCTATTTAAAAGGGGTATTATAAAATAACCGGAGGTTCTATAAAAATCTTTAGGGTTTAGAAATGACTTAAAAATGTGGATAAAAGTATGCAAAAATATATTTTTACTATGTTTCCGAAAGACGAATTTTTTTTCATTCTAAAATCTTAGACATATTTTTAAGCCATTTCAGTTATTTCTGAGATCATTTCAATAGCGTTTGTTGAGATCAATGAGTGAAGGCTCTGAATCGAATCTCCCCGCAGATTTTAATTTAATTATTATAGTTAATAGTTTTCCTTGAAAAAAAATTCTTTAAATGCCTATAAATATTCTTTCGGAAAACAAATATCTTAAGAAAAATAAAAACACTGGTAAGGTATTGACAAACAAGTTAAAAAAAAAAATATTTCTTAGCTAAAAATTAATTTTTTTTGTGGCTTAAAAAAAAGAAATAATTGGCAGCACTTGCAATTGTGCGCTAGGGAAGGCTTAGAGCCGCGAGCTTTGCTTTTGGCCTGTGCGCGTGCAAATACGACAAAGCTCCAGTAGTAGTAGACCCCATCCATCGCCAGACCCCTTGGTCCCCGGCACTTTGGTATGTTCCTGCGCGTGGCCATATGGCCGTTAGCCGACTCCATTGTGCAACAGGCGGAGAGGGGGCTGTGGGGCGATAGTTTCTAGGGATGACCCTATCTACCTATCGATCAACTCGACGAGCTTTACTAAACTAAACTGAAGGTCTTTAAAGTATAATTTCCATTTTTTATTTTATTAAAGTATTAATAATAACAATTATTAGCGTGTAAGCTTATAGGAGATTGAGAAAAGATTATGTACATAATTATGTTGCTTTAAATGAATTTTAACTGTCAAATAAAAAAAAAAAGGTTTTCAAAATGTTGTATTTTAAGTTATTAAATGAGCCACTAAAGCTAACAACGATTAAATATATTTTATCTTTCCTAAGCTTGTCTGTTTCATTTAAATAAAAGCACAGTTATCAATACAATTTATATAAACTTAAACTTGTTTTAGTACTGTTAAAAATTTGTAGAGATTTGTCAATATTATTTAAAATGATTTGGTTTCAAAAACTAATTATTGTTTAATTTTAACTTACGTAGTTTTGTAGAGAAATTATAAGAATAAAACTGTTACATCAGCCCAAAAGTAGGCAACGAAAATGTGTTTCATGGTATTTGAAGTCCAAAGCTTTTGCAACCGCTCAAAAGTAGGCAATAAAAATAAATATTTGCTTCTACTGCCGATTGGAGTCGGTTTGCACATCAGTGAGCAAGCAACGTCCTTTTCGTTCGATACTTCCATCCCTGGCGGCCGCCATAACGGTAAATGCTGGCTCTGTTTAACCTTTGCGTCAGTCGCACACCAGCTGCTCACGCACTCGGACCTGTTTTCGTTCTCCATCCGATCCGAACGGATACGCCTCGTTTCGTACCGTTACCGTTACCGCCGCCGTCGCCGTCGCCACCGTCACAGCCACCACTGAGTGCCGCCAACAACAGTTGGCCCCGAAGAAGAAGAAGAAGAAGAAGCATAACAACAACAAGAACAGAGGTCAGCGGCCAAGTGAAGCGGTCTGGAGTTTCCTAGCGGCTAGGGCTACACTTGCCAATGCAAATATAATGTGACAAGGCAAGATGGACTTCCAGAATCGCAACAATACGGCCAATAAGTTCGTCTGTCCAAGCGATAGACAACTGGCCCTGCGTGCCAAGTAAGTACGGTTCCAGTTGCAGTGTATATTTGCTTCCCCTACTCGAAAAAAAAAAAAAAATAAACAAAAACCCCTCAAAATCAGAAATCCGCTAACGATTGTAGCCCTCCCCACAAAGGCAATAACAAAATGGCATTGAAATGCAACAATTGGCTTTCGTGTTAGTGCGTCACAGCAGCTGCAATGATAACAGTTTTGTGTGTGTGTGTGTGTGTGTGTGTGTGTTTTTTTTGTGGCTTTTTTTTTGCGGTGCATGTGTGTGTTAATAATAAAAACAACTACAACAACAACAACAACCAGCGACAACTTGACAAAAGCTTTAGTCATAATTTAATTAACTTTGACTGTGTGTGCGTGTGCGTGTGTGTGTGTGTGGTTGCGGCTGATTAGCCGAAAGCCTAATCAAATCAAATACATGTGCGCACTCACACAACGAAAGCTAGAGTAAGATAGGCAGAGGGAGAGAGAGGAAGAGAGATGGAGATAGAGGTGTCCCTGAGCTGTCATGGATTCAAGGACCCTAGGAAAAGCCGCGTGTTACCATGTGTTTCTGTTGTGTGTGTGTTTTTTGCACTCTAATCATAATTGTTGCACGCTGACAGATTAATTAAATTTTAATAACGCTCAATTTTTTACGACCGCCCAGCCCTGTTTTTATGGCCCCCACGCTGAGGCTTTCATTTATTTATTGCAATTGATGCAAGGCTACAAGCCAACCAAAAAAAAAAAAAAATAAATAAATAAATAAAAGCGCAAAGGCGAGTGCCATTTACATGATTTGTGAAATACGCCCAGAACGTCCACCAACCAACCACCCACCTCCGCATCTCCCGAAAAATTCCCGATCCCGATCCAAAAAATCCACAAAACGAAATGGTAGCAACGAGTTTATCCCCAACATATGCTCGTGTAGCATACTGTTTCGGGCCAACCAACTCAACTCGAAACTCAAATCAATCCCAGCTGACTGTAAATGCGATGCGGCCGCATTAAAAATACAAAAACGCCGCACACACAGACAAGCATACACAGACACGCACAGCGGGAATCTTAAGGCGAGGGGGTGGGGGTGGTGGTTGAAGGTTGGCAGGTTTCAAGTGTGCAATTTACACTTCCGCTCGCCCGCTACATAGTAAGCACTCAGGCTCTTGCACGCAGACAGCCAAAAGTTAGGGTGGACCACTTGATTAGTTCCACCTGTAGGTTGACCTCCTGACACGAACTTAATTATCATTGGAATTGTTTCTTTCTTTGGCTGAAAATTTCAGTCTAGAAATTTAAGCAAAGGTATTTAAGGTATTGAATATGGCAAAGTATGTACCTCAAATTCAGACAGCCAAGTTAAGGCGAAACATTTAGATAGAGCTAAGGAAAGAGGCCACAGTGCGTATGAATGATACCACAAAGCGATATGTGATATAAAATTTAATTTGATATAGTTAGTTCACCATTTTATATGTTTTAAAGACAAAACTCGAAAATATAGAAAAAAACCATACGTTCGAATAATTTAATTTAATTTATGTGTTAAAAAAATAAAAAAAAAACCAAAAAAAAAAATTAGTAAAACAATAAATATGTAAGTGAAGCATCTTTTATTCATATAATAATTTATTTTTCGAGATGCTTAGAAATACTATTTTGATTTGCATGCTTTTAATAGAAGTTGAAGAGTATAAAGAAACTATTTAATATTCCTAATAACACCAAGGTCCACCCCATTGGGCACACAACTTATTACACAGCAGCATAGAAACAAAGAGCTTTTGGCTTTGGCAGCGAGGGGTTACTACAGGGCGGTCAGAATGGAGAGACGGAGTGTTAAAGGACTTGGGAGTTTGATGCTCGTGGCATTGGCTCCGTACTTGAAATTCAAATTACAGCTCAAGGGAGTCCCACACACACACACACACAGAGGGGGGGCAAAGTGGGGGTCAGTGGAGAATTAACGTGTAACTCAAATCGCGGCCACATGCTCAACTATGCAAATGAGTCGATCTTTGCCACGCCACCAACTCTGACGGCAAACAATTTGGCTTTTATTAAATTCAACTCAGGCCGCAAAGTAACACAGGCGACATTTATTTGGAAATCCTTGAGGAGGGCGAGTAAAAATGGAAATACTACATACATACATACATAATTGCAGACAAAATGGAAGCGAATTCCAAGAAAAAGTTTTTCTTTCACTCTCAAATGTTATAAGGCTACAGAACAGAGCATTGAATTTGAATCGCAAACCTACACCGCTTTGAACACAGAGCGATTTTTTTGTCCCTCTCAATAGAAATCGAGCTTCACGTTTTATTTTGCATTGCCATTGCTCTTTTTCAGTTCATTTTACTTTTGAACGAACGGAGTCGAAACACAATTGTGAATAAGGCTTCTCATTGTTAAGACCTGACTTCCAAGTTTTGTCCTTGGCAAGGAACTTTTAAATTAAATACGTTGAGCAAAGTTTTAAAATAAAAAGAGCTTCGTAAAGGAGTTGAAGAGTTATATAATCTTCAAATTTGATTATGCCTTAACGTTAACATTAAATGTAGCATTGCTTAAATATCTCTTTTTTTAGGGCTTTTTAACTAAACCCCAAAATGAAAGCATGAAATTTACTGCTTATCCGTAAGTCACGTTAAGGCCAACAATTGACTTTGTCATGCGTAATGTGTAAGTTAAGTTATTTTCCCTCATTCATCCCATGAATTTCATGAACTCGCATTCAGTTTTCGTATGACAGTGAGTTTGAATTGATTGCCCAAAAAGGTTCTTCGCATGAACACAGCCAGAAACAATTTGATTTCCTTTAACAAAAATAATAAACTCCCGACAAACCATCAGTTTGGGCGCTCAACTTAAATTGTTTCTGGGTAAATCGATCAGGCAAAAAAGATTTGAGTGCCTGGAGTGCGGCTCCCAGTTTATTTGCTTATTCGCAGAAAATGTTGATAGAGCACTAACCGAATTTGTAATTTAATTATTTGTGTTAGGGAACCGGCAAGGGCATTCAAGCCATCGCCCACCCGCCCAGAAAACACACACAAAGCAGCTCACATGGCCTTACAATCAATTATACGCATATAGAAACACGGGAAGTCAATAAACCCGGCGTGAAGGCAACAAAAAAAAACATTAAATGCCGGAACAGAACAATCCGGAGCTATGCAAATTATCTATCTAAGAGCTAACCAGTTGCCAGTTACTATGCTGTAGAAATTAATAAGGCTTTTAAATCAATAAATTTTTATTGTTGTAATTTAACTTTAATTTATGCATTAAACTGTTTTAAATATATAATTATATTTTAAATTTGTAGATTCTATATACAAAAACCAATATTTGATTCCTATTTGTAGATTTAAAATACAGATATATTTAACACAGCATTTTAAATTTCGAAATTATAAATACAAAAACCATTGTTGTTTATATTTTTCACAGTATTTGAAATTGGTAGATTTATTTACAATAAAAAAATAAATAGAATAATAATTTTTCAAAGTAAATATTTAAACAAAGTTTTAAATTATTTAATATAATTTCTCCAAAAAAAAAAATGATTGCTTTTATATATATTGCTGGAATATGTATCGATTATAGTTGATGAAGATGGTCAATTTTGGATCCGTAAAACACAATTCAATATAAAGGCTCTATTATTTTATTGATAACTACACTTGTTTTTAATAATATTACCTCCTTAAGTCATATTAACTTTACACAAAATGTAACAACTATTAATATTATCCTGTTTAATTTTTAATGGAAAAATGAAATTACAAAGATATTCTAGTTTTTCCCACTTGTTGATCAATTAAAGCCAACAAATATCAGAGAGAAGAAATATACTTGTTAATGAACTAACAAAACCAAGCAATATATCTAAAAAAAGTTGCGATTCTTTTCAGTGCAAGTGAGTACTCTCCACAGACTCCTTCGTTGTTTTGAGTAATTTTGGGTTAAATGAACCGAGCGCTCGGTAAGCAACAGCGTGAACGAGTTAATTAACTTTGAACCTCAAATTGTTGGCCGAGTGGCCGGGCAACATGGAAACCGCATTAGGCGACCCACAACTAACGATGCTCATTAGGCACCCACTCGTCCCAGGGCCACCCTTTTTAACACCTTTTAGACATTTGCGTAGGAACCGCACCGCATCATTAATATTTACCCGCTATCCCACTCAGCAAATTGAGATCAATTTCTAATGAAAATCCACTTGAAATACAGATTCTGTAGTACACTATCAATGGAAAATATTATAATTGGGGCTGACACGGAAATCACTTGAGATGTTTAATCATTTAAAGTGGTGTCAGATTTGTGACCTTTAACGCTTCTGTGATGTTTTCGGAAAAGCTCATTAGGGACTCATAAATGAAATTGTTTTTGTCAGTTTGCAATAGCTTTCTGAGATAATTTTAACCTTGGATAAAAATGTTTTACACGCAGAAAAAATTTAAAGAAAATAAATAACATTTTAGGAAACATTACCCAAAAAGGGAGACTTTAGGCCCTAAACATTAGACATCGATGACCTAAAAATGTAAGTCCACTTATGATTTAAAGTTAAGCTACAAAATGGCCTAGAAGTGGAAAATATGACGAAAAATGTTTCAACTAGAAAATATATGTCTATTTCATTCTCATAAGTAAAATTTTGATAATAAAATATTTTATCTCTCTAAAAAAAATTTAAATTTTTAATAGCCATGAGCTGAGGATCGAACACGGGTCTTCCGTGATAGTGCTAGCCGAATTTTTGATGTTATATGTATTTTTTTTATTTTTTTTCCTTTTTTAATAATTATATAATTAACTAAATTTAAGTACATTTAATGTATTTTAAATTTTTTAGGACATGCATAGCCTAGGAATTAGTCTAGCATTTTTCTATGTGTATTTTACTTTATTAACTTTACTTGCTGTATTGATGGTTACTTTAAATGAATTATCTTCTTTGTAGATTAAAAGCCGGCTGGAGCAGCTCGAAGACCAGTGAGCCGCTGCGTCCGGATGAGCAGGAGGCGATCATCTCGGTGATCCGGCGCAACGAGGAGATCGAGGTGGCCGAGCGGCAGCGGGTGGGGCGTCTGGTGGAGCGTGTGGAGAAGATCAAACAGCATGCGGTGGAGCGGGGACCCAACTGCTGCCGCCTATGCGGCGACACCTTCGGCATCCTGCGGCCACAGCGCATCCTGTGCGAGGACTGCCGCCAGTCGGTGTGCGCCAAGTGCAGCGTGGACATCAATATCCGGTACCACACCAGCGAGCGGGCCCGCGAGATCTGGCTGTGCCGCATCTGCTCCGAGACGCGCGAGATGTGGAAGAAGTCGGGCGCCTGGTTCTTCAAGGGTCTGCCCAAGTACGATATGCCGCGCAGCGCCAGTGCCACGCCCATTCCCCATGCCTCGGTACCCGGATCCATGGCAGGTGGGTGGCCCCATTTCGGTATTTCAGCATTTCCAAAGAGGTGGAAAGGGGGGGGGGCCTTTGAATAATGGACGTGCTAGGAATTCCAAACCCCCTTGCCCTCATTCCTCATTTGAGCAGAAGCTCGAAAGGCATTTCTAAATCGTACGGAAAGAGTCAGAAATGAAAGGACAATTGCCACAACACAATTATGGCTACAATTGTGCAGTCTCTTTAGATAAGGAAATTTCATTTCATGTTTCCGACCATGTCAGAAATTAGTACCTCCTGCTTATTATATTTTATTTCCCGTGCTCAAGCTGACAGAATTAAGTTTGTACTCTTTTTACTGCCAGGGAAAGGTTGTCTACATTTATCTCTGTACACAACTAAAAGGTTAAGACGGTAGTAAAAATTAATAAAATAAAATAAAATAAAATAAAAAAACAATGATGCGACTACATCTAGTGAGACAAAAGTTTCTAAAGCAATAAGATTGCAAAACTATCAAATCGAAACTATTTCAATCAATTGAGTTTGCAGAATGGCTTTCGAAAGTATAAAAATACCAAACCAAATTGTGTATTAACTTTTGAATGCATTGAAATTAAACTTTCTATGTTAATATAACAGCAAAGAACCAAGAATTAAATAATTATGGCTCACCATTATTATTTATTCTTAACATATATGTAGCTTTTAAAAGCTTAACAATTAATTTTATTTTTTGTAGATTGCATTTTTTTTTTGTTAACAATTGCTCAGAAATCTTTATAATTGATTCTTACAAAAACTTTACAATTATCTTTAAAATTTGAATTAATTAATCTTATGTCAGAGTATATATTTCATGCCTGTGTGAAAAATGTTATTACAGACATGTTATTACAGTATTGATTAAAAATAAGAGATTTCAAGGTCACGCGGCATACCAACGAAATTGTGTATTTCTCACTATGTTTGTAATCCCTCAAAGGGCAAAAATTTCATTTAATTCAGACCAACTTAACCGAATTAACCTTTAAGCCCAGAACTTATTCTCCACTTCCTTTGTAATGCTTATTAAAATATGAAAAAGTGTTACATAAATATGTAATGACATTGCCATGAAACTGAAAATGTGAATCAAGTGCCTTGGTGCCTTAAATAATTAAAGGGAGAGTGTAATGGAATTCAAAAGAGAATTTATACTTGCCGACTTTAAAGTATTTTAGCAAACAATCATAACAATTTTCACTTGAATATTAAGCATGTTACTGATGAAATGCTGAATGTTAAACACCTTCGGAACCCACAAATGGTTTTTAAAAACAGCTAAACAATTGTTTTCGAATTTCGTTTCAGGAACATCATGAAATGTTTCCGTTTCCATAGTCCAATTCCAAATAAATCGTTACAGACGCTTCTTTATGGTAACCATAATCAGAGCTTCAACCGGATGGGTTAACATAAAAAGTCAATAAGTGTAGTTCGTTCAGAGTCATTTAATAATTCCATCTCCAAATCGATTCGATAAAAATGACCATGAAATTAATCAAGACTCAGGAATTCTTCTCGAATTCTACAGATGTTTCTCCAATTCCAGCTCAAATCCAACAGTCGTCGATAAATATAATCTTTCATTCAGAGCAACACTACTAAGTACCTTCGACTTATCAACGACTATCGCAATTATCAACTTACGACTATCGCTATTATCATCGTTCGATTCGATCATCGCCAAAATCGATGTTCTATCTAGTTAATCGTTTGTCGTAAAGATTACGGTCTGTGAATCGGAATCTGATAGTTACCTAAAATATGATGATCAGTTTTGAGTGCATTTCGTTTGCTATCGATACCGATACAGCGCAGTCTTAATCGGATATCATCAACCGTACGACTATCGCTCTTATCGTTTGAAACTAAGAATCGGAATTGCACCTTGGCCTGGTATTGGAAAGGTATTATTTTCTCATTTCAAATTCGATAAATAGCACTTGCAGTCAGGAGAATCGGCAACCCATCGATTGACGTCTATCGGAAATCGCTAATCGCTGATTTTGTATCTGTCATCGCAGGAGACACTCGGGCCGTTCAAAGTTGCCATGCGACGCCGACACGTCCGGCGCGGGTGAAGAAGCTAACGATTCGGGTGAACGACAGCAGTTCCAGCAGCAGTGGCCATTCGGAGCCGGAGGACGAGGTGGACGCCGCCAATGGTCTGGGATCAGGCATGGGCGGCGGCGGGGGCGTGGCCAAGGGCATGTCCTCCGGCCGATTGCAGCGGGAGGATAGTTTCCGGCTGAGGGCATACGGCTCCATACGCAGCTTTATCGACGGCGGCGAGCGAAAGTTGTCCAACTCCTTCTTCTTTGGCCGCCAACAAAGTCAGCGGCCATCGGAGTGTCCCGAATACGACAGCGTTAGCATGTCCAAGCTGCGCAGGGAGAGCAGTTTCCTGCGCCGCGGCTCTGTTAGCTCCTCCTGGTCGATCAGCGACAGTTCCGGCTCCGGATCGGCCAATTCCGGCAATTCCCAGTCCCAATCGCAATTCCAGCAACAGCAACAGCAGCATCAGCAGCAGCAGCAGCAGCAACAGCATCAGCAGCACTGCCGAGATCCGCTGCTCGGTTGGCTGGAGATCGCCATCAGCTATCGAGAGGCCTTCCACAGCCTCGACTGCACCATGGTGCGGGCGAGGGATCTGCCTGCAATGGACGCCGCCGGACTGACAGATCCCTACTGCAAGCTGAACATCATCACGCCCGAGGCGCACACCAAATACACGCGATGGCAGCGCACCAAGACGGTGCACAAGACCCGCAATCCGGAGTTCAACGAAACGCTGCAGTTCGTCGGCGTCGAGCCGGAGGAGCTGGGCAACTCGCTGCTCTACGTGGCCCTCTTCGATGACGACAAGTACGGCCACGACTTCCTCGGCGCGGCAAAGGTCTGCCTTTCCACGGTGAGTTTAGGGACGGGAGGCACACTGAAAAAAAATATGCTCGATATTAAATGTTTTTCAACTTTAAAGACCTACACTACAAAACTACAAAAAATTAACTTGCCTAAAATTTGTATATGTCTTTAAGAAGGTCCTAAATTATGCTACAAATTTGTATGAGTTTAAAAGAACGCTGGATAAATAATAAAATAAGACCCTATTTTATTCACAGCATACTTTTAGACACCTTTTTTTTTAAAAAGTTTCCTTACTATTTAAGACCATTCACAACCATTTTGTATTTTGGCTTATAAAAGGAAAGAAACATTTCTATTTTCAAATTGTGTGGCCCAAATGGATTATCCAGTTGGACATCAAAAAGCTTTTCTTTTAGCAATCTTATTAAAATAAAATGAAATTCAAATGTAAATTAATGGATTGGACATCATATAATATCAAATTTCTTTCTGTGCAAAAAGCTTCGCATCCTTTACGAAATGTAATTGCTTACAAGGCCCTCAGGCGTATCCTGCCGCTAACCGAGTTTATTCACAAACTTTTTGGCAAAAAGGAATTCAGTTAATATCGTAAAGCTAAGTTGGGTACTGTTCTCTGTCTTTAATCTTGTCTATAAATTATACTTTAAAAGGTCGAAAATGTATAAAAATGTTGTAAATGTTTGTATGTACAACTTCAAAGATTTGCGATAATAATATGAGTCCATGTAGAGTGGGCTTGAACGGGTAAAATAGTGGCAAAATCAAGAATAATCGTGTATAAATAAAGTATATGTATTTTTGTATCTTTCTAGGTGCACAGCACATCGCAGTACCGAATTTCGGTGCCGCTGGGCGTGGAGGACCAGTACAGCAATGCGGCGGAGATGGCCCAGAATTGGCCCAACGGCAAGATGCTCCTCTCCCTGTGCTACAACACCAAGCGCAGGGCGCTGGTGGTGAACGTGAAGCAGTGCATCAACCTGATGGCCATGGACAACAACGGCAGCTCTGATCCCTTCGTCAAAATGTGAGTTGGTTGATCCTCTACAAAATAAAATAAAATAAACCCTAAAACAAGAAATTCACCTTAACTAAACAAGACATACCTATTTCCTTAAAAATATAAATATTTGAATTGTGTTCTTTGATTCATGTTTTTGTTTGCTCGTTCCAACGAAAGTGTCGAGCTCGTAACCTAGGTGTTAAAAGGTCTCACTAGAATTCTAAATATATTTAAGAAAATTTTTAGATAGAAATTTATTTAATAAAGAAAATATTTATATACATTTTAGAGTTACTTACTCTTCAGGAAATTAGTTACGTATTATTAAGAAAATAATTTCTGCATACAACTTCAAATTTTACTCAAGCTAACGATTTTTTTTTGTTTTTAAACCAATTTAAGTTTAGGGTGAAAATTTCTATACTTGAGAAAGTTGTTCTTGATTTAAAAAGTATTTCGTTCTCTTTAGATTAAAATGTATTGAAACTAGAAATCTTTTTTTCTTGTATTTACAAAAATTAAGTATTAATGTTGAATTTCAATAATTGAGGGTTAACTTTATTTTGAGTGTACCGAATCTTTATTGAATTATCCCGATTTTTATCTTCTGGAATAGCCAACTCAAACCGGATGCGCACAAGAACAAGAAGCACAAGACCAGCGTCAAGTGGCGCACGCTCAATCCCATCTACAACGAGGAGTTCTACTTCGAGGCCAGTCCCCACGACCTCAACAAGGAGATGCTCATCCTGACCGTGTGGGACAAGGATCTGGGCAAGAGCAACGACTTTCTGGGCAGCCTGCAGCTGGGCGCCCAGAGCAAAGGCGACCGCCTGCAGCAGTGGCTCGACTGCATCCGATTGCCGGACCACTTCCACGAAAAGTGGCATTGCCTCGCCCCCGAAAATCCCGCCCACTGAGGAGCCCAACCAACCCTCCAATCCAAACTCGATCCACCCCCATCCATAGCGATTCGATCTTATCTGAGTCGATATGGAAGTTTTCCTTTAAGACACATTTTTGCGAACTGATTTCTTAGCCTAGTTGAAAATGCACAATTGGTAGAAAGCCTCACAATGCGGGTGCCACAAAATGCAATGGAACATTAAAAAAAAGGTGTCTAAAAGTATGCAATGAAAAACAGAACATCTTCTTTCGGAATAAATCCCGAAAACTTTCGGACTGAAAATCTATTGTTACATACTTTTTGGCAACCTTTTTAGGTATATTAAAAAAACAGTGATTTCTGTGGCACCCCCAGATAGAATTTTTAAAGATTTATCTAGTCAAGTTTTGTGAAAATTTACCTCCGTCAAAACAGACTTCCTAGAGATTAAATTATTCGAACTATTTTCAAAGTTTTGGAATAGTTTCTTATTTAAGTCAATAATCAAGTTAAATAATCAGCTAGTTTTATAACAGATTACTTAAATTATTTTTTGCATTAGCCTTTTACAACTACTTTAGCTTAATACGATGAGCTTTAACACAACATTTCACCATATATTTTGTAGGTCAAGTATTTAATACTTTGAATAATAACATTTTGAGAATTTGTATGCCGATAACACATTAAATAAGAGTAGTTTTTTTCTTTAATAATATAATACTAAATGTAATTTTTCAGATTTTTTAACTGGGCTTTTGGAAATGATCGATAAGACTAATTGCGCTATAACTGTGCGGAGAAATCAGGTCGTGAAAATAAGGCTTTAGCTCCAAATATACACATATATATTAACATATAAATACATATATATTATATACATATATTTTTGATAAGCCTGAGTGGGTGTGAGTAAGCGAGAACAAGCTACAGAGAGAAAGAGAGGGAGAGAGAGAGAGAAATATTGTGTGTGTTTGTGTGACTGCTTTCCAAAATCTCGTACGTAACCCCAATTTTCTATGTCTATACTTTGACTCTTAACGGCATTTTTGTACACTGTATATAGCTTGTTTAAGTGTCCTTACAAGGGTTAACCAACATCAAAATCTTTTCGATTCATTGCTAACTTCAATCTATAATCAAACGTATACTTATGTACTTCAATTTATCGAAATATATATATATATATATTCTCAAAAAAGAATACCAGTTTTTTTAATTTTAAGGTGCTTAAAGAAAAGAGTCGTATGTGAACAATCTGGATTTGGGACATCGAACTATAAAATCTTACAGATTATTTTCTTGAGACATAATTTTAATTCCAATTTAAAAATCTATGCTACATATACTTTTGGAACCCTGAAAAAAATTATAAAATTCATAAAGCATTTCTTTTTAATATTGTTTTCTTGACGTTTAATTACTTTTTATCTATCTTTGTTTTCCTTAAAATCTGTCTAAATATGAAAAATATAATCATATCTAGAATAAAGACATCTTCAGGATAAAATCCATGAAACCAATCTTCAACATATGTCTAAATATTGGCTTTCAACGTCAAGGTCTACTAAAATCGATTAACATTTTTAAAATGCTGAAAACTTAAATCAGCCAATAAAAAGAAATCCATTGTTCACAATTGATAGGTGAAGCGAACCCATTTTACATAATTTAGTGCACTGATAAGGCATCCACAAGATGCTGATAAAGATTAGCACCCTTCCAATCCACATAAAAAAATCCAATCCATTCACATAAACTTTTCAATTAGTTTCAGTTCACATTTAATAAGTTTGGCAGAGTTTTAAAAGTTGAAGCGAGCTTCATCATATAATAGTAAACATCCAACACTATACAAATAGAGGTTAATACCTATGTACATATATAGCGTGCCAAATAAGTAAGCGGCCAACAAACGCGTTGCGCTCGATGTAGATTAAGATGTATGTAGCAAATATATGAGGATTACATATTTCCAATACAGCTCCATTCTGTGGACTGTAAACACTTAATAATAGGATTCTGTCTGCCAGACAGATGGATAAGGTATACAGGTATACACATGTATGCGGGCGATTCGAGGTAACCTCCAGCGCCACCAAAAAGGGGGGATTCTCCTACGAGACTTAGTCTAAAACACTGGTTCAACTCCAGGGGGGGGAAAAAAGGTGTGCCCATCTCCAATCTTCAATCTTCAATCTCCAATCACTTGCGATCGAATAGGCGGGTGTAGTCTAGCAGATTATCTGCTCCAGATCGTTGGAGATGCTGCTGCTGCTGATGGTGTTGCTGCTGCTGCTGCTTCTGCTGTTGCTGCTGCTGATGCTGCTGCTGATGCTGCTCTCGGACAGGGGCAGCCACACCTCCTATGACACCGCCACCGCCACCGCAACCGCCCAGTTCCGGCGCAGCCGTCGTCGTATGTTAGAAGAGTCGCTTCTCGTAACTGAAGAGGCCGTGGACATTGCCCTCCAGCTGAGCGGAATGGGTGCGCTTCATGAAGCGTAGTTGGCCGTTGTAGATCATCTCCCTGGGGAAGAACGGATGGCAGGTTTAGAGAAGGGGTAACACACATGGGGTAATCCATTCGGAACCAGAATGTCCAAATCTATGTGGCAAAAGACCACATTTGGTTTGGGACATACATTAAGAAGGTGACTACATTTTAAGTCATTTTAAAACGCTAGTGATTGCTGTGGCACCTCCCTACTTAATAAATTAATTTTAAAGGCCATTGAACTGTTTCCTAAATAGTATTTTCTTGAGTAATAATTACATTACAACACTCTTTAAAATCAGACTTCTCAAAAAAATTAATTAAAATACACTTTGTTTGTGATTTCAACAAAATCGTATAAAATCGAACCTTTAAACTTTATGCTTTGTTTCACATTAAATGTTTAGGATAAAATAATTTTTATGTAATTTTTTTTATTTTCTTTTTTAAACGAGTTTGTTTGGCCAAAAATATTTTGTATTTAAATATCTTGAAGGTAAAATTGTTTATAGATTTAGATTTAATTTTTAAATTTATTTAGCAAACTTTTTAAGTTCTTTATTTATTCTCTATTTACTTTTGAAGCAACCAAGTTTATAACTATTTATCTGTTAAACTATCTATTTATGTTATGAAACAAAAACCCATGTAATTTTGTAGTTTATGGGCATTTCTAAGATAAGATTTTAACATCTATAGATCGATGATTTAAGTTAAAAAAAACCTCTGTACTATATATATATATATGTGTAGAGGGAAGACATAATCTGCTTACCTTAACTTTTTCACGGAATTGGCGCCGATGTCCTGACAGCTGTGCTGCAGTCCGCACTCCAGATAGGGCAGATACCGGAGCACACTGCCCTTGTCCACGATGCTGCCGCTGACGCCCTGGGCCACCTTCATTTTGTCCATCTCGTTGTGGTAGTAGCGCGACATGGCTGCGCCCTTGGCATCGCCACGCTCCATGGCCTCCAGGGAGCCCATGCCGCGGTATTTCTTGAGCCGTACGCCGTCCGAGAAGAAGTACTCGCCCGGTGCCTCCGATGTGCCGGCCAGAAGTGAGCCCATCATCACGGCGCTGGCTCCCAGGGCAATGGCCTTCACAATGTGTCCAATCGACTGGATGCCGCCGTCGGCGATCACGGGCACTCCGAACTGGCGGGCGTACGAGGACACCTGGTAGACAGCCGTTGCCTGGGGACATCCGCAGGCCATCACCTCCTGGGTGATGCAAATGGATCCGGAGCCCATGCCGACACGCAGTCCATCGACGCCAGCCTCGATCAGATTTTTGGCCTGGGCACGGGTTACCACTGGTGAAAGTCAACCAAAAACATCATTAAAATTGCCAAATAAATTAACAAAATATATAGTAACGACAAAGGTAAGGCAAATGTGTTTAAAATTAGTTAGACATAGAGAAAAAGAACAATGTGACACTACATTTACCACCAATACAACGTAAAAAGAAACTGTGTTTACATTTAGTCGATATAAGTTGGCATATTACAAAGTAGAAACACTATCTTCGTACGCCCCAAAAACCCACTCGTGATAATAAAGATAACAATATGTTTGAACCCAATAGCTTATTGCGATAATGGTGATATAATTGCTCTTAAAACAAAAATGAAAGAGAACTAGATCGAAAAGGTTGGGTGCTTCTTTTGCTGTTTTTTATAAATGTATACCATTATATTGAATACAAGGGAGCCCTCTTTGCTCTTCACATATAGTACATCGGTTTTTTTTTTAATACAACTAGTCTCTTTATTTTGAGAAGGTTCTTTAAAATATACATAAATTAAAAACATAAAAAAATGCATTGAGACAGGCGAACGAACTGTCTAGACTGTTGACCCTCAATTATTTTGCGTTCTATTTTGAAATCTTTTATATGAGTTTTCATTTTATTAAGATCAGGTGGACAAAGTTATGGGTTATTTTTCTCTGGAGATGGAGAAAAAAATATAGTAAATACAAGTAAATAAATAAATACAAAATGAAGTCATGATCGTGTTGTGGATTTGGAAAAACTATCCAAATAGTAGCCATATCGTAAAATTCAATTGCTTTAATAGTACAAAAAAAAAATTATAATGATTATTTTCAGTCCCCTGATTAATATTGTTTACTGCCTCAATTCAAATAGTTAACTATTGGAATAAAAATATTTCCAAATAAATGGGATTGCAGCTGGCGCGATTTAATCCTATATTAGCTATAACTGCAACCATTTTTGCTAGCACTCTATGTAAAAAATGGAATATTTAGCTTATTATATTTTTTTTTATTAAAAAATAATTTCTGGCTTTTATTTTTTAATCAAAAAAATATAATAAGGTCAAACGTTGTCAAGTTTATATTTTTTTTTTTAAATTATAACTCTTTCGACAAAGGTCTAAAAATAATTACTTTCAGTCTCCAATAAATAATACTTAAAACTGCGTAGGTAAGTGTAAACTCACCATTGCCGCCGATGACCTGGAGCTCGGGATAGGTCTCCTTCATGAACTTGATCATCTCGACCTGGTAGACGGAGTTGCCCTGCGAGGAGTCCAGCACGATGACGTCCACGCCGTTGGCCACCAGGAGAGCCAGTCGCGCCTTGTCCTCCGACCTTGTGCCGATGGCGGCGCCGACGAGGAGCTGCTTGTTGGAATCTTTCGAAGCGTTCGGATAGGAGCGCGCCTTCTTCAGATCCGTGCGCGCGATCATGGCCACCAGTTCGCCGGCCTGGTTGACTATGGGCAGTTTGCCCTTCTTGCTCTTCTCGAGAATGGCATTGGCCGTGGGCAGGTTGATGCCATTGGGTGCGGTCACCAGTTCCGTGGTCATGATGTCCGCCAACAGGACCTCCGGCTGGTTCTCACGGAAATCGATGTCTCGCGACGTGACCATGCCCAGCAGCTTGCCGCCCAACTTGCCGTTCTCGGTGACCGGGTAGCCGGTGAATCCGTTCTTCCGCCTCGCCTCCAATACATCACCCACCGTGTTCTTGGGCGACATCACCGAGGGGTCGCGCATGAAGCCGTGCTTGTACTTCTTAACCTTGTGCACCTCCAACGCCTGGTACTCCGGCGTGCAGTTGTGATGGATGATGCCAATGCCACCACACAGCTGCGCGCGGGATTCAAAATGGTTTGTGGGAGATGCAAATGTGCCAATGTTGAGATTGTTGATTGTGGATTTCGAAATTCGAATAGCGTATTGAGAATTGCGAATGGCGAGGATAGAAACATTGGCGGTTAGAGAGGCGCATAAGAGTGTTGAGTTACAACCACAGCTAGCACAGCTCAGGCAAACCCGCCAGCGGTTCTGGGCCATCATATCACACAGTTGCGGTCAAAACAATAGTAGTTTGTTTGAGTTTATGGGGAAAAAGCAATTGCAAATAGTTGCGAAGCAACCTTTTGGTCCTTTTTGTAGATTTTTTGTGAAGCTAATACACGAAACGAATTTAAGCAGTTATAAAAAAATCCACATTTATCATTTGTATTATATTTTTAAGCGAATTTTCCACAATTCGTTTTGAGAAAAATGGTAACTTTATTGATGGAAATTTATTTTTATTATTTATTACAAATAATATAAGTTTTAGTACAAGTAAAAACATTTATTTGGAAGTGTGATCACTATATCTCCGAACTTGATCATAAATTAAAAAACCAAAAAGATTTGGTTAAAGTTATGTATGTTAAATTTTTGTAATTTACCAAAGAAAATAGTGGTTACTTAAAAAAAATAGATTTTTAAACAAGCTTTTGGTTTTAAATTGTTTATTAAAAAAATATTTGTCAATAAGAAAACATT